TGGGCTCCAGGGCCCCACGGACCCATCGTTTCGACCCCAAATATATATATATATATATTATATATATATACTTATTGTTTTATAAAGTAAGTAGTTGATTTCTTTTGGCAATCATATTCAGGACTGAATTTTTATTTTGATATTAATTCGATTGCAGCTGAATACAGCACTACTAAAGGACCTAAGTGATAAAAGCACACATAGACATTATTTTGTAGTCATTGTATTTAGAAAATATTTGTACAAATAATGATAATAAAAGCAAAGTTATCAATCAGAATGTTATTTTACTTTTTAAGTATATGGTGTTGGTTTGATAAAAAAAATATTATCACTAAGAAAATTTAGAACTATATTTCAGGACAGTTTTTTTATTGTTTTATCGAAAATAAAAATACACAAAAACCTTTTAAAATTTAGAAGTCATCTTTGTGTAAAAATTACACAAAAATAAATGACTTCTAAATTTTGAAAAATATATATACATATCGACGCTGGAAAGCAAACACGTAGTAACCTGCAAAACCAAAAAAGATATTTAGAGTGGAAAAATCTTTATATTCCAAAAAAATATATATCTTATTTCCGTATAAATTGACTAAGGAAAACCTTATTTGTTACCATGGACGTTTATAGGAATTATTTATCGAAAAAAACAAAAGTTTTTCTGCTTTGAAGAACAATTTTGATTTTGCGGGTTACTACGTGTTTGCTTTCCGGCGTCGATATCAATCTAATTCATCATACTTATACACCATGACTTAGGTAGTAATTATTAATTATTTGTTGGGTAGTAATAAAAGTTTGACTGCTAGATATCGACTACAATGTTTTACAATATTTAATTTTAGGTGAAGCGAAATCTGTATGTCTTTTCTCTCATATCATATTTCTAGATGTTGCCGTTTCGTATTTATAATTATGCTTCAACAAAATATCCATTACAACAACCAATATATAAAAACTAGGGATAGTTAGTATACTAAGGTCTCTAAAATGTTGCCTCACTTTTTCTAGGCGATTATAGCAGTTTAGTTGAGGAGATTCTTTATATGTAGCGAGTGAGGCCTAGAGTTGGTAGTAACGTTAATTTTCGTCCTATAAGAAAGTGCCCTGGAAAAAATGCTAACAGGTCATCGGGTGAGGAAGACATAGGATAAAGTGAACGACTGCTTAAAATTGCCTCAATTTGAGTAAATATGGCACTTAGTTCCTCAAATGCAAAATGCGAATTACCCATCAATCGTTTGATATGATGTTTTACAGATTTCACGATTGCCTCCCGAATGCATACATAGGTGTGAATATGCGTTTACAGCCTTCTTGACTTGCATAATCGGAAAGAGAGTTATCATGTATTATTATTTAACAAAGTTATTTTTATCGAAAGTTTAAATATTTGTAGAAATATTTCTTTCGGCTGTTTGGGTGGATTGCCTATACATTGATGAAAAAACGCTCTGTAGAAGCCAAAAAGTAACAAGTACTTGGAAATTCGTCGTCCTATTAGGTCTTAAGTAGCTCAGTCCGTGTCTCATCTCGGAGTACCAGGGACAAACTGGATTTTTTAATCATTTTTCATTAAGAATTCATAAATTAAAAACTATTAAGGATGGACATTGTTATATTTGAAATAGCTAATTTATTTTTAATCTAATTATTGTCAATATTTATAGTTACAAGTTTATTGACATAGCATCTAATATTATGTAATTTTATTTGTATTTTTGTAATCTTTCAAAATTGTGTTGTACCATTGCTTTGCCCGTACAGGGCGTCACATGTACATAAACAACAAAACAATGACCATCTTATAATTTTAATGTGACATGGAATAAACGAATTGATTAAGAATGTTTCATACAAAATATTACTTTTAACAAATCTACATCGCGAACATAATACCATAACCTTGGCATTGTTATCACTTCAAATCTTTATTATCACTGTTAGCTAATAAAAAAATACTTATATACTATATACATATATATATATATATATATATATATATATATATATATATATATAATATAAGAACTTATATGAATAACATAAACTAAATATTAACGTATTACCAATGTACACATATAATAACTAATAAAACCTATTACGTATAAATTAAACTCGCAAATTCTTACATTGACCAATACATATGACAGTAGATATTCCTTGTAATAAAAATATGGTTTGTATTAAAATTGTTAAAAATATTGGTCTAAATATTATAGTTGTATTATTATAAATATTATAGACAATCAAAGATCGTAGACTGCTCGAGTCAGCATTTGAACCTGTACCCTAACCAATCGATATTTTTAAGCACATCGCTAGCATTGAATGTGACAATTAAGAAATTCAACGGGAAAAGACTGTGTTGGAAATCAAATATCCAAGTCTATTAGTCTGTGATTAATAAAACTTTCAATCATTATATTGTCTGTGGATATGTTTGTTCTGTTTTTTTCTTTCTCTTTACTTTTTCACTTGTTTTAGCAATTGTAATATTAGTACTTTTTCTATATAAAAATCCATAATATAGAAATCATCTTTATAGTTTTTATTTTCCCTGAGCCCATATCAATAGGCTGTTCCTGGGTACGATATTTCGCCCGAATAGGGAATTAATTACTCTACTTAGATAATACTCACCCTAGGGGAGCGGCAGCCTAATTCTCTCGCTATAAGTCTCGCAATAGCCACTAAAAAGTTTAATAAAACTGATTTTATTCATAAATACGCTTATTTTATTTCATAAATATGTTTTTTTGTTGAATGATAGCCGCTACACCAATGACTGGGTTGTACAATGTGTGATCCCCATTCTACCTACTTAACAAAAGAAAAAGCATGGGCGCCTATGTTGTTTTCATGTTGAGTTTTGTGATTGATTAATAAATCACAATTAATCTTCTACGATTGTTTCTTGTTTTATGATTTTTTATTGTCTTTATATTTTTTGTTAATTCATTTCAATTTAAGCAATAGCTTTGTTTGTAAAAATAACTACACCATTGAATATCATTATTTCAATATGTAAATAATAATATGCCCTTGACATTATAAAAGATATATTTATAGATGAAACTAATACAACGTTATAGCGAGAGAGTTAGGATGTCGCTCTGATGGTTAAGTAAGTCATTAAGAAACCTTAAACTGCCAATTTGTAACACATTACAGCCAGTTGCACAAAGTCACTTTCATTAGTTTAAAGCAACATTGAATTTGACATTCATTGCAGCTTAAAGTCATTAAACCTTAATGAAGGTTTATGCAACTGACTGATAAAGAGGTATTCCGATTTAGGTAGTCTCGGATGCCCAGGTATAAATAAATATCCGTCTCATTTTCAGAGGATTCCATTAATAGAGATCAAAATACAGGTGCTTTCAGATAAAGAGGTTATATTCACCTATTTATATAAAACTTATCGAAAGTTATTAACGACTAGCTGTGCCTGCGACTTCGTCTGCGTGGGAAAGTATATCAGGAGAATCGTTTCTTTCCTATGGTTGGGATCGAATCGAGTAGGATCAATGGTCCGTGATACACTACACGGGCCCAATGTGAATTGGTGGGTGTTAATGACTACTGATGCAGCCGAGACCAATAGGTTAACTTGCATTCTGAAGCACGGAGGAGCTAAAGATAATAATGTTTTGGTCATCCACACTATAAACGGCCCTTACGATAGTTACAAAAAATAATGAACAAAAATAATGAAGAAAAAAGAAGTGAGAAATCACTTCTTTTTTCTTCATTATTTTTTGTCATGTTTTGCCATCCAATGTTAGGTTGCCTGAAAGAAATCGCTGACTAGCACTAAGCTTGTCTTTAGTACATAGTTATGAATGTTATGTATGTACGAAAAATATATACGTATGTATGTTCATGTCATTTTCTTGTTATGCAATAACGACTACTTATTTACTTAACCGCATCGTAAACTGAATACGCTAACCTCTACTCATAAGAAAAAGTCGAATTGGTTCCGAAACTTAAAAAAATACTTTCTCGCTCTCTATACTGCCAAAACCGAGCTCTTTAAGAGCTCGACCGCACTTCTCTATCAAAGGAAATTTCAGAATTAAACAATACTGCACATGTGTTACGATCAGCAGTTAGACGAGCTAGCTAAGTTATATACAGAAGTTTTCTGAGATCAAACGCTTGCTTTATGAGTTCTCTGAGAGCTCAAGATATTCTCCCTTACAATTAATGCTCCAGATTCACTTAAATAGTGCATAAGCGTCGCGATGGGCATTTAAATACGCTTCGCGCCCGTCAAATATCTCCTGCGACCGAGCGCTTCTTGTCCAAAATCTCTGAGAGCTCAAGCGACTTTGTTTGTCAATAAAAGTCTTAGGGTCGACAGACATGCCGCCACCTATCTTTTGTCAGACATGCGCGTCTTATTTGTCGCAGAACGCCAGATAACTAAAAAAATAAATTATATTAAATTCCACCTTGCATACTCGACGGAAATCGTATATAAATATATATACTTCACTGAGCTTCATCAGTTTTGCACCGACCCTCAGACTCGTGTTATATTGCATGAGCCTCATAACCGGTGAATAAACCTGTATCTCCAGTGAAAACTGCAAATATCAACTTTGATATAAAACGATTTGAATGTAAAAAAAAAGTAACATAAGACTTTAAGGAGGGAAAAAAAATATATATAACTTTAGTTGTCTTCACGCATTCGAGAACGGTGTAAACCCAGTTTAGATTCATGCTGAGCCAAAGTTTCAATAGGGCGTAATCTGGTCTAAAAATTTCCTACGTCTCGCTGCAGGATCTTTTTAAGATTCTCATCCTTTTAGCAGTTTTGCAGGTTTGACGTTAAAGAAACTGAGATGTTAGAGTCCATCTACGTACCATTTATTTGGAATAAATTTGCATAACAAATATCTACCGACCTGTTTATTATTTACACCTTAACACACATGTAAGCAAAACTAAAGAAAACCAATTTCAAAACATCATCTTCCAAAACAACTTTATTTTACAAACACTGGTTTAAAACGATTGAATACATCAACGCCTCTTCTGTTTAACGTCAACTTTTTTTTTACAACTCGTCGAGACAAAGGAGTTAAGCTTTTCGCCCACAATATACAAATATAATCCTCCAGCAATGCTTACGGCAAAAAATACTAACCTAGCTGGTAAATTAAGAACATTAAAAATGGGGTATGGCCACACGCCTGTTCTCTCAAAAAGAATATGCATCCAAACTAAATAACTAACAAAATATGTAAAAGCCAATACAAGACCCACTTTTCTAGATAGATAAGTTTTGTTAGTAAATATAAGTTCTAAAACTATGAATAACACTATGAAGGAGTGATATGTATGGTTAAGCCATGGTGGGAAAATTTTCGCAATTTTTTCAGGGAATATAAGCTCCTTATCGAAGTGGTAGATGCTCCAGAAACTGATGCCGACGTAAATAGCCATGGGGAAGGCCAGGCCGAATAGGGCGTCCTTAAACATTCTAATCAAAGGCCGCTTCTTTGGAGACGCGTCATTAGATCCTATCAAGTCGTTCAGGAATGAAACAAAGAAGTATATAGTTTGTAAGATCTGAAACAAGCAAAAAAATATAATTACATTTAAAAAAATGTGCAGAAGGAAATTCTAACAACCATATTTTAAACTTTTTTCTTTTCACTTGATTTCATAAATCGTTTTCTACAACATAACATCTAACACCCGTTTTCACTAACCTAAAACAAGGCAATGCTTAACCAGGAAACGCCTAATCTTACAAATCGAGTAAGCAGATTCGTAATTAAACATTTACACAAGGTTCCTGAATTGAGAATTTGAAGTTGATCACGTCTCAAACCATGCTTAAGCCGTTTTAAACGTCAATTAAACAGGTTTTCATTAGCGATTGATAATTTTTTAATGATCAGTTGATAGCAATTTGATAAATTTAGGACTTTTTGCCACATGAAACGTAAAAAAACTAAAGTTATTGATAATAATCAGTGGTGATTTTGTACTTTTCTAAATTCAAATACCGGCCGTTACTTTATTATCCATTGACGCATTTGTGATCTGTCATATTACGAACGACCTTGAGATCATGTTGCCATCTCCATGTCCCGAATTCAATTCCACATCGGATCAATGTACAAAAATGAATGTTGTGAGTGATTATGTTTTAACAGAACAGCAATACTGGTTCTTAAGTTTTTAAAGTTGATATGTTTAAAATAAATATTCAGATCATTAATTATTTATTCATCAATTATTTCAAACTCATTCTTACAAAGCCAAAGGCTTCGGCCGCGTGGTCCCTAGGGAAAGTTTAGAGGATAAAAAACCTATATTATGTTAGTTCCGGCTTAGAATTATCCGTATATTTTTTTTATCAAATTCGTTCAGTAGTGTTTATATGAAAACTAACAAATATAGTCCCAAACTTTCGAATTTATAATTATACAATAATAAGATTTTAAAGTTTAATCAATCAATGTGAACTAAGTTGTCTAACATTAACAAACCTAACTTCTTACTCTCCCACAAGGCCTTACTTAGCTGGAAGAGATCGGCGTAGAGACAAGTCCACTGTTGTAATAACTTTTTTTATGTACAATAAAGAGTAAGTATGATAATTGTACGGTTTTAGACCAAACATTTATAGTACTTACTCTTACTGTCAGTTGCACAAACGCCCATTAAGGTTTAATGACACCTTTAAGCTCTAATGAATGTCAAATTTGTACGGGTAATTTCCCTTTAAACTAATGAAAATTTTAATGGACGTTTGTGCACCTAGCTGATAGTAAGTAAACTTATGAAATATATCTACAATTTATCATCATAGTTACCTAGTTATTATTTAATGAATCACTGTTAAAGGCAATTATGAAACAATAGATAAGAATTCAGTAATTCATGATCAAATAAATCGTACAAAATAATCTATAGTACCTACCTACTCATTATTATATGACTAAAAAACTGATTATTAAATCACTCCCTGATAACAGTATCGTACAATCTCACTTCAATTACAATTATTATTTTAAAAAAAATTAATGCACTAAGTGACATCACACGGTGTTAAACTTTTGTAATATCTTTGTTATATGTGAGCTGTTATTATGAAAGTTGTAACGTCCTATATAACTAATTTAATGCCATATATATTTCCCTACTTTTCCCTTATTCCTTATTTCCCTACTTTTTTCAAGTTTTCAAAGCGCAATATTTTCCGAATTGATTATCTTAAATGAATGGTTTCAAGGTGTCGCCATCTCTGAGGTCCCGGTTTCGATTCCAAGTCGGGTCAATGTAGAAAATGAACTTTTCTATATTGTCTCGAGTCTGGGTGTTGTGGTACCTTCGTTGTCTCAGACACGGGGGCTATAGCTACTCATATTGGAATCTGAGCAATGTATCTGATAGTGTTATATATTTATTTTATTTATATTTCATGAAGTACATTTTTCAGTGTAGCATTATAATAAATATTTATAAGTTATATTATAATAGTTCATATTTTTCGAACATATAACAAAAACCTGTATTTTCATTTGTAGGACACAAGCTCATTGTGTGAAACGTGCAGATAAGTCATTAATCCTATTAAAGTTATAAATGTGAAAGTTTCTTTGTTTGGATGTTTGTCCGTCAATCACACCGAAAGTACTGAACAGATTTTGATGAAATTTGGTATAAACATAGGGTATTAGCTGACTTAGATAAGATAAGGATACTTTTTATGAATGTCTTCGTGAATTGTTCACCGATGTCTTCGTGAATTGTAAACCAATTTGATATTAAATATGTATTAGAAAAAATTATATGTCGAAAAAATAAACCAAATCCCCTTTCCAAACACCTGTTTCTGAATAGGGTAACATTAAAATATACTAAAATTGTGGTCATTCTATAAGATAATAGCGTAATAACTAATAACACATATTTCACTTTATTTTAAATTAAATAATGTGTATTTTTTCAGATAACACAAGTTAAATTAAATATTTTTTGACATTTTATCTGAGACGAAAACGCTTTGTAAGTCTTTGCACTGCGATGACGTCACACACTAGTAAATAGGGCTTCCTGTTGACGCGGCGTAATGGCAGCGTATGACAGACACGCGTTTTTGCACGGTTTCGGAAATTTAGACTTTAACTTTCATTTTTATTAATAAATACATTAAATATCCCCAAAATATTAAAGTAGTGTCCTTTAATGTAATAAAGAATAATTTAACACTATTTATCAAAAATTTGTCAAATATCCTATTGAGAATTTAAAGTTAAAAACGTCTCAAACTGTACTTATACGTCACCTGTTTGAACAGGTTTTCGTTTCTGATTTTAAACAAAAACCTGATTTTTTTAATGATAATTTGATGAAACAAGAACTTTTTGACTTGTGAAACAAAAAAAAAACACTTAATTTATTGAGAATAAATCAGTTGTAACTTTTCTCATTTCTGAAACCGGCCGTAAGACTTTCAATGTGTTGAAATTTTTATAGATATATTTAATTAGGTTTATGTGGCTTCTCGGTTGCCAGCATTCACTCGACTAACGAAAATTTTCGATAATATTTAGCTCAATTTGTAAAAATCCAAAAAGCCCCAAATTGTAATAAAACTCAAGGTTCTATGGCAAAGGTTATTTATTCAAATAATCGTGAGAGTATATAAGTATTTGATAAAATAACTCACATACGCGATGTAGAATTATATGTAATGTATCACATACATAGGGCACACAAACGTCATCGCCATCTAGCGATCTGTAATATATACAAACTGATAACTACAGTTATTATCAAAGGACATTACTTAACACAATTACAACTTGTAACTACTATCCGAAGTATATTAGGACCTTCCGAAATAAATAATTTCATGTAACACAAAATTTAAAGTTTAATATCTGGTTGCTAAAACAAATTCCTGCTTAACTCTTAACTTGGTATATTAAATTATTAGGTTTAATCAATTTTGTATTATAGTTATATTGAATTTGGTAATAATTTTGCTAAAAAGTGTAAGGGACAAAGTGTATTTTTTGAGCATTTTTCATTAAGTATATTTTAAGTTTAATAAAAGCAGTGTTAAAATTTATAGTTATAATTCTTGCATCCATGATGTGAGTACGAGGGGCCTATTCTGTTTGTCCACCAACGAAAATTCGAAAAATTTCGAATGGTTTTCATAAATTTATTAAAATCACATCGGTGAAGATTATCTAGAGGAAGTGTCGGGTGCTACCTCCTTTGCTTCATAGATTATCGAAAAATGGCTTTATTTGGATGACTCCAAATTGAATGACTCCAAAGAAAGCCATTGTAACGTCTCGAAAATAGACGAAATTCAATTTTATTGTTATTATTTATATAGAGATACTATGTACGTAACTCAAATTACTTACAAAAGTCCACATCGTTAGGAACATGAGGCGGCCCTTATAAGGCATAACCTCATACCCCTTCGCCGGCAATGGTAAATCCAAATACTGCTGATCGTACCATAACGAATACACGTAAAACGACACCACAGAAATATGGAAAAGGGGTAGTAACATTTTTAACACGCACACTTTACAAACGTTGGTGTATGACTGAATCGGTCGGCTGGCATTTACCTTATCTATTAAAACGCTTGTTATTACGGCACGACTGTTAATTATTATACTATGTTACGCTGACACGTATGTTTTCTGTCTACCCTTGATAACTTGTTTGACCTGTTCCATGATCTTCAACGTCCAACAATCACAATTCAACGCCTCTTGTTAACTTATAAAATTACCTATATTAATTATTAGGTAACTTTAATTGTATAATTATTTAATGAAAATTAAAATGTTCATACTTAGTGGTTTCTTATAATTTTCATGCACATCACTCATTAAATAAGAATAATTTATTTCAATATTAATCCTAATACATATACAATAACATATTGGTATAAACTATTGGATCGATTATAAAATTATTTAATCAGCGGGTATAATTTACGCAGTGTCGGGGAAACGGCTGATAGAAATTAGTTCACAATTTAAAAAGAAATCGATTAGCATATCTACTTAACTTTGATTATATTAAATAATCGAAGTTACATCAAAAACGTACATACTCGTTTAACATACAAAATTCTCCTTTCGGTTCTGATTATAGTGAGTGGTATTTGATGAATAGCACCTATATATTTTTTTTGTTATAAAAAGAAAACTTCGGATCATCTCTCCTCCACCATTAAAAAAAACAATTTTGAAAATCGATCATCAATTCGCGGCTTAGTTCCTTCGCCTGTCCCATGGACTACTACTATGTACTCAATTCGCGGAATATTCAGTGAACATACTTATATAAAAAAAAAATTCGCTATCGAACATATAACATCCTTCTTTCCGATTTTGAAGTCGGATAAAAAGGAAGAGGTTCTAACTGACGTGTAAACTATAAAGTCAACGGTACATCGGGTTATATCTCCACTCTATTTTAAACTTTAATATTTGAAGGTAGGTTTTTTAATCCAACCTAAACATTCTTTTTAAGTATTTTATTTTTAAATTCATATAATGATACCTACAATGTAAGTGTTCAATGAGATTTACAGATATGTATGTAACTCTTAATAATTTAGCAAAACAATAGACTTTACGTAATAATTATCTGCCTGTATAATTCTATCATAAAGAGACGGACGGACTGTCAACCGAGACTAAATTATCATTGCGTGCGGTATGTAATTAAATATGAATAAAACCATTAGATTTTTCATATAAGTTTAAACATTTGAAGTTAGCAGTAGGTTACCTACATATGACTTGCGTGACGACATCCGTAGCCGAGTGGCGCGCACGCCGGTTTCAAGGTGTCGCCTCGCGATCTTTGAAGTCCTGGGTTCGATTCCCGGTCGAATAAATGTATTTTCAGTAGTCTCGGGTCTGGGTGTTGTGGTATCTTCATTGCATCAAATTTCCATAATAAATGTGCTTTAGATACTTAATTTGATTGGTATCTGAGCAATGTGCGTGATGTTGTCAATTATTTATTATTATTGTTTATATCGGTGGGTGAAAGCCTATTTGTTTTAAGCGCCATTTTTTTAACTTTTCAGGAGAGGGATTCAAAGATTTTGATTTCGAAAAAAAAATCATTAAATAAAAACTACTGGTTATTTTTGCATGAAAGTTTTACAATCTAAATTATTTTTAAAATCCTCAAATTCTAGTTATATTCTTAACTTTGTCATGACAATTATTTCGAAAATAAATGTCGGTTAACACAAAATGGCCGCATAATAGAGTCAGGGAAAACGGTTTAACCACCACTTTATTTCGCTGATCGGTGCGAGCAAAAGGTTTTAAGTACTACTTTAATTGTCTTTCTAGTTTGGATAAATGCTTTAACCAACTATCCACTAATTCAATAGAATAAACCTATTGGCTGAAGAAGCAAAAATTTTCATTTCAGGGTCAAATCATAACAGCTTCAGCAACAATTTAAAACAAAAGCAATTGTTTTAAATCGCATTTGTTTGTATAACTTTATTATGAATGGCGAATGATACCATGCAATTTATTTCTCATTTTAAACTTCAATCTTTGTGGAGATGGTTTTTTATTAAAATAAAAGAAGATCTCTTATAAAATTATTTATTGAAATATTCTCAAACATTCTAAATCAACAACTTATTATTTATGTTACAAACTTCAGCATATTTAAACGTTTTAATTTAGTTTTTTGGCAGACAGAAGCATTAAGGTTTTAATCGACGGTGAATGCTCAGATCTACTGTCTTTTAATGCTGGTGTTCCCCAAGGATGTGTGCTATCACCTACACTTTTTCTTCTGCATATTAATGACATGCTGCAAATTAGCGGTATTCATTGTTATGTGGACGACAGCACGATGGACTCCTTCTATAACGGTCGTGCAGGTATTTCTCGGGAAAACGTCACTGAGAGCCGGAATCAACTTGTGTCTGTTATTGATTCTTTGTTAGAGGAAGTCTAACTGGGGTCGACTTAATTTGGTCCATTTCAACCCTAATAATATTGGTGGGTCACTATTTATTTGACATTGTAGTTCTGGCTTTTCAGTTTCCTTAACTATGGTATTTTTTCTTCATTTAGAAAGATTTGTGGTGGTGTCTGAAAAAATAATTATTAATTATTATAAAATACTTTTATTACTTAATATGTTTGGCCTAAGTAAAAGTAACAAGTTCTTACCTTAACAAGATTTGGCGCACACAAACACTCGTTTTCACGGTTCACGATAGGCTAAAGCGCCCGCACGAGGGGTGGGGTATTTATACCGGCGCGAGTTAAAGGCGCCGGCATCTAACGGTCATTGTTTGATCCGACGTTGCAAAATTATCACATAGTGATATTTGCATGTATGAACGGACATAGATATCACTTTTTTGAGTTTCGATAAATGCTTCAAGTAGCACCAAGTAAACTTGAGATGTGTTTGACCGACACTCAATGAGATTCTAGAGTGCGGATAACTCTCTGGAACGACACGCTAGTTAAGTTTTGCATTCAGACGATAATGATTTAAACAACATGCTATCATGAAAAAACATAAAGGAAAAAAGGTTGAGGGGCCGTGTTGTATATTTTTTAGGTAAAGGCTAATTGTTTTAACCAACAGCCGTGTTGATTTTTATGAAAAGCAAAATGTATTAAGCGACAGTCACCTCTAAAAAGTAGTGGCAGGCAAAACGCTTCAACCGCCGTGGAGTATTTTAATTGAGAAAACAAAAACAGTTTAAGCGGTTTTTTGTAAGATATATGTGTGGTTCATATCCATAGCCTCTAAAATTTTATTGATTTTTTTGGCGTTTAATACATCATTTTTCTAAAATGAGGCCAAAGTGTTAATTGTTTTAAGCGCCAAAAAAGTCATCCGATCTTTACGGAACCCCTCTCATTCGACGCAGAAAAATCTGCCGATTCCAAAATGGTATATAACTCAATTTTGCCCTGGGTGGTGCTTAAAACAAATAGGCTTTCACCCCTCGATATCATTAATTAGACCTTTTTTGACTCTCAGACACGTCTCGCTTTACGCTTGCCCGCTCTCCCCTGCGGACCCACGGCACGGCAATAGCACAGGCATACCCACTAAAACTCAGTGATGTCCCTCTCCATGTGAGGCGGGTCAAACTGCGTGTTGGAGATACTTCTCAGATATTTGAGAGGTGCCCTCCAGACAGAACAGGGACGTGCAAAACCCGGTTAGCGCGTAAACCTGTGGCGTAAACCAGCCGAACTGCCCCTGAGTTAAGTCCCCGTCCCGTTGGTAAAGGACTCGAATCCATAACCTTTCGTAATCCAGGCGACTGTGCTACCCGAACCAACAATTTATGGAAAGTAAATACATTATTCTTAATACAAAATGCTTAAAAAATTCACTTTGTCCCTGGCACCCTGTGATGGGAATCAAACCCACGAACCTTTCGCAATCCGGGCGACTGCTCTAACCACTGAGCTACCCAGGACCTAACAGGACTGACGAATCTTTCAAGCACTTGTTACTTTTCGCTACTACAGAGCGTATTCTGATTAATGTTCAGGCATCCACCCAAACAGCCGAAAGAAATATTGTTACAAATATTGAAACTTTCGATAAAGATGAGAATTTTGTTCTAATTATTATATTTTGATTAATTTTGCATTCACAATGCCATACTGAAAATTATTCTTAATACAAAATGCTGAAAAAATCTACTTGGTCCCTGGCACCGAGATGGAATCGAACCGAAAGGTCGTTTTCGCAATCCGGGCATTTTGTAAACATAAAAATGTGCGATAAACCTCTACAAAGGGCCAATGTCTGTACCTTTGTAGAGGCTTATAGAATTTTACAATTATAAAAATATAATATCTGTGCTATCTATGACTTATTTTCGTTTAAGAAATCAGTTTTTAATTACGCTCTAAACCATTATTATTATTGTAATAGAATCAGTGGCGGTCTAAGGGGAAGGCGAAAGGAACGGTCCGCCCCGGACCCGTTGTCCTAGGCCAATCATAAGTTAAGAGTTGTACTGCCTTGTAAACGCAAAATCCAGTTTCTGCACCAGTTGGTAAAAGTTGTAGGTCCGCCCCGGGCCCCCGATGGGGTTAGTCCACCATGAATAGAATCCCATCTAGATCTACAGATCTATTTTCTGTACGCACTATCTTAATACACTATTACACCTCTTACTAGCGGTGCACAAGGAAAATGAAGAGATAATTTTTCATCAACCTAAACTCCTTTGCATCTTAAATATGTATACGAAAATAAAACAATATTTATGGAAAAATAATCTTATTAAATAAACATCTTTAAAAAAGTAAAAATATATATAGGTAGGTAAAAAGTATCTAAATTTTCACTTCTGATTCAAACCCATCTACAAGGAAATAATTTATTATTTCATCAACATCTTCAATTTTCTTATTTCTTCTTCTTCTTGGTTTTTTGTAAGTGGTTTTTATTAAATTTTTTAAACCCATCTTGATGGTGCATTTTTCATAAATGACACATAAACTTCTATAAAACATAAGTACACTATTAGACCCATACAAATACTGTTCTATGAATTTCATAGGATCACTTTGATTCTCTAATTTTAATGCTATATTGTAAACAAATGTACCATTAAAACATTTATGATATTTTGTACTTTTATATGGGTGACGGCAAAGAGTATTCAATGAGTTAAACTGCTGCAAGCAACACTGGAATTGTGCAAAACTGTGCACCTTTTTGACATCGTAACTTTTAGGTCGTTTATGGATACTGTCATCTATTTCAAAATGCTTCAATAATGCATTGGCAGCTATTAAACAATCTTCATATTGTACTTTACACTTATTTAGAAATAATTCATCTACCTCTTTAGAAATGTATGAATTATTATCCTTTTTTAACTCATCAATCTTTCTAGAATAGTTCTGAACAAACTGCTTATGACCACGGAAAGTGCCAGTACGTTCATCGACTACTTCTAACATTAAATAGCATACAAACAAACTGTGAACATGAGCTAATGGTACATTACAATTTATTACCCACCAAAGTAAGGATATCATGTACAACTGAAAGTTATTTGGTAATAAAACTAGATCATTTAAATCTAAACTTGGCAACTTTTCCGTTAAGAAATGATGGAAATATTTTTGCAACTGTTCACCCGTCAACTCTTGAAATGGAACTTCTAGTATTCTAGAAATAGAATGCTCTCTACCTACAAAAATCCTGCGATATGTGGAATCCTTTTCCCTTGAAACATAAGTACAATAATCATGGGAGAAATCTGTGGATATATCAAATATATATCTCAATATAGGCAAAGTACATAAAAAAGAATCTTCACTACCATAATCTTCAGCTTGAGGATTACAAAAATATAAATGATGCGTGAAAAGGTTCAAATGAGATTGAGGTATATGATTGTTTCTAACTGCATCCGTATACCAATCTGGTTGATTGAGATCATCATCTGTAGCATTCTCTTCTGTAGAACCTACTGTAGATTGTGCATCCTCTTCTGAAGAATCATCATCAATTGAATCTTCAACTGTCTCATCATATGAATCGTTATCAACTTTAGTAGTTAATTGAAATTCTTTTGAATAATTTGTAATGGTTTCGCTACAGATATTAAAATATTTAAGTGATTTACAATGTTTCCTATTATATCCATCAATACTCTGTTTGATAACAGATAAAACTTTATCTTTGTGAGCTTTCCTAACTCTTCCCAATATTTTGAATATAGCAGAGTCCAAGGTTTCATTCTGTAGCCATTTAAAAATTCCGTGAATGCACCTCTGCTGTTCATTCTTACACTTTTTGCTTTTTGGCAATTTTAACTGGGAAAAGAACTTATTAAACACTCTTTTCTCCACATAATCATTACCCAATAAAGTTGCCAATAACGGTAACATCTCTTCTTTGAGTCCACCAAAGTTTTCAGTCAAATATTGTACCCTGTAGATTTTGCATTCCATTGCCTGTATTTTATTACCGTCTACATAGAATGGTTTAGCTTTACGTTCCAATGTATTAAAAGGTATATACAATACATTGTAAATGAAAAAATCAGAATCATAACTTAATACAGGGCATTTTAAGTTCCTTGCCATTGTTGCAATCTCATCGTCGGCTTCAAATTCACATACCGTGTATAGTATATTCATTTCTGCAAGTATTTGCTTAAATACTTCTCTTAAAAGCAAGGGAAAGATCTGGAGGCTCCCTTGAGTGACAGCATCTAAACGAGAAGCCCCATTGATTTTAGATCTTAAGCGACTATAAGCTGTTTTTAATTTCCTAACTTCATGGCTTCCGTCAAATATCACAAATGGTGTAATATTACATTTTCTAAAATTTTTAAAGAAATTCCTCACATATATTGCGTATTTGTCATAATCACCACCAAAAGCAGAAAAACAATTGAGCGACCTATAGAGTTGAGCACACATGCTGTTCCCATCAATAATGAGGTACGTATCGTGGAGTAAATAATATTGAAGGAAAGAATCTTGATTTGAATTAACGTAAGTAGTTAATCCTCGGACTCCCATTTTCACTTTTTAGGTTTTGATTCAATTTTATTTATGTAAGATTAAGAGCAGAAAATAACTATGCTCACGACACTTTTTTCTAAACTTTTTTGGTTTCGTTCGAGGAGTTAAAGTAAATTTAAATCTACTTTTCAATTCAATGTCTAGTTCTTTCTCCTTGAGAATACCAGAAAACCACATAGTTCACGGACATAAAGAGAGAGAGCACAAAAAACAAAAAAACAAACTTTGGAACAAAGAATAGTATTAATATCAACGTAAAAAAATATCAATGACGGAGAGAGGGAGAGAGGCAGACTCAACAGAGAGTCATGTCATAGGCATGTCGATCTGATATCGATTAATCGGAAAATCTATTTTTTAAAGTTTTCAGATCAAATTGAAACGCTGAATCGATTTATGAATCGATGCATGAACCCCTCGAATCGGTACGATTCAATGAGGAAGTATTTAAAAAATAAAAATTAGTTCTTAAAATCATACTAGATGTCACTCAAGATGTTTGGATTTTGTTTATTATATTCAATCAAATTTTATTTCTAACGTAATAAAAGTAAATTGAGTATCGAAATTTAATAAATATGACATCGTTTTGTGTTTCGTATAATATCTAACTTTCAAATTAATTTAATTTATTTTAACCGTAAGTTTAAGTTGTTTATTATGTTACGTGTAAAGAAACGATTTTTGGTTTATCAACATTAGTGATGAGCCAACTTATTGGTTGCTCGTAACTTTCATCCAAATTCAGGTTTGGAATTAAGAACAAAAAGCAGATTTCAGCTTGTATTTGTATGTGTCAATATGCATTCACAAAAAGAATTATATTAATATAAATATCAAAATCAATTCAGTTTAGGCTGTTACATATTACTTGTGAAAGTCGAAAATCTTGCCAATGGTTCGCAAAACTAACGCGTGAGGTCTCGTACTAACAAGAATCCGCAAAAAACTCAGCAAGGACTGCTTTTTTAATTTCAACTATACTATATCTGAGGGAACGTAACGACCTAACGCACACGACACCACTGCAGAGATTTTAAGAAAGCATGACTACTCTAGGTACTTAGTAAATTATATATTTGAATAAAACTGATTTCTAGAATAAGTCAATCTATTACCTATTAACAATATTATTGTAAGAACCAAAAAGCACATACCCACCGTACGAATTAACTTAACACACGGCTCGACGTCCGCCGTCGACTTGCAAGGTCAGTAGCGATAGTTATAGCGCGAGTCTGATAATGGCCCTTGGCACAGAAAACACGCTATTATTAATAATAAATTGTTTAAGAAAACTGAAATGCAATTAAAATAACTAATGTGATCTTCACGCTTGAAAAAAATTTATAAATTCTTACATGGCGGCTAAAAGACAGAACCAAAAACAATAGACTTCATAATAATAGATAAGAAAATAGGTCAAGGGTGAGTTGTGCACTTATACACAGATTATATTTTAAACACGGACGTAGTGCTACATAGTATAATAACTGTACGCGTCTTTTTGATTTTTAAATTTAAAGTTATAACCTTGCTGTTCGTTTAGAGCAGACGTTTCCTGTTGTTTGCTGAATGTTTATTAAGATAATGTAATAATGAATATAAGATTTAATAACTGATCATAGTTATTTAAAGTCTTAATTTCGAAAGCACAAGTTATTTGCACGTTACCCTTTGCACAAACGTCATTATAACCAGAAGTCATGTTATTTTGTACGAATATATATTTGATACCTACCGGGTAAATATATAGATAATAAATGGATTTTTTAGTATAGTTATCGTTTTTATGACTTTTGTTGCTGATTAATAAACCCTATTCATCCATTCACCATACATAATTTAAAAATATTATTGAGACTTGATGTAGTTTTGTTGTTTTAAGTTCAACAAACAATTAATAGCAATAAAACTAACTTTTCTAGTTATTATTGTTTTCAGAATTTAAAAAAACCTCTGTGCTCACTTCCATTATGTTAGTTTCCATTTTCCTCTATACAAATAAAAAATAAATTTATTTAAAGATTACTTTGTATTAATCAAGTTGAGTTTGCATAACTAGAACTAGTTAAATTTTAACTCGATATTAATCAGAGTTATCATATCCACAACAACACTGACAATTCTATTCTCTTTGATTTAACGTCATGAATTGACGTTCATTTCCTCGACGTTAAAAAAAAAGATCCAGCAATTTTTGGACAATTCGATATTTTACATGTACAATTGTGCGTAATGCGCAGATAAGCCATTAATAAAAGAAGAAGAAGAAGAACAATTTTTGCTGCCATCTAGTGTTATAAATTTTTGTAATTTCTTTATTTTTTTAAATACTTCCTCAATAAATTCAAAATCTAGCAATATAAAATTCCTAAATTGATTACGATATTTTAAGTTATTTAATATTTTGATGTTGTCGGACGCATTGATAATTTGAACCCATAAAAAAAATTAACTGTACCATAAAGTTGCGGACATACCTGAAGTTACAAGAGCGGGAAATATTCAAATGAATTTTGACGTTTGGTGTGATAGTCTCGTCATTTCTCTATGTTTTCGGATTGTATGAGTGTAAAGGATTTCATGTAAGGCTATTTTGAATTTTTTCATAGTTTTGTTTCATGACTTTTGTTTTGTTTCATGATTTCTTTTTTTTTCAAACATTATTTGACAGAGCCTGTCGTCGGTTTCAAAACGTCGGCGGAATTTCATGAATTTATTTTTTATGACAAACTTATATAGATTAGACTACACACAGACTACCTGATAGTCTCCTAGAATTCCTACTTGTATTAACGGTAAATTATCATCAATAATGCTTTGTGTCTAAATAAGTATAAGACATGTTTGAAAAATTCGCGATTAATCGAAAATCGATCTTTTAATGCTTGATTTAATCGAGAATTAATTCTAGTATGTTTGATTCGAATGAGGAAGTATTAAAAAAAAAGAAAGCACCAAAAAAGCACCTCCACTACATGGCGACCCCAGCAAAAGTTGATTTTTGCAGGAAACGATTGGGCCAAAGACAGTCATTTCCATTCCTTTTAACTAACATATTAAAAAACTGAAATTTGAAAAGTTCGAAACTCGGATATCAATACAAATACGAAAAAGTACAAATAGAATATGAGTTGTTTTTTGACTTTTGAAAGCTAATTTATTATTAAATTTGAAAGAAAACCGGAAAGGTTGTCATGGAGAAATCAAGAATGTGACATAGCGACATCTAGTTTGATTTCGGGAATTATTTTTTTTAAATACTTCCTTTTTTTAAATGGTGATTTTTTTCAAGTGAAGCGACATGCCTACCCTACAATCTACATCAGCTGAACCAGTGTTGGCTCTGCGCCGCAGCCACGTATAGTACGATCCCCTCGAAGACTAATTTCCGAGATGTGAGCGGGGACGAACGTTATAATACCTCCTTTGTATTGACATCTTGTTTATTTTCTTTTTATTTAAGTGTGACATCTGACATCTTTCAGTTAATGAAAAGTCTTACATTGTGAATATGATATTTTATTTCCATAAAATAATACAGATTCTTCTTTTTAATTAACGGCTTATCTGCGCATTTTGCACAATTCTGCCAATGTCAAGTAAATAAATGAATTTTTATATGTAAAATGAAAATAAAATGAAAGAAAGGATTCTGCATATAAAATCAGAATTGTAGATAAAGGCAAAATAATATAGATCTTCTTCTTCTTTTTTAATTAATGGCTTATCTGCGCATTTCGCACAATTCTGCCAATGTCAAGTAAATAAATTAATTTTTACATGTAAAATGAAAATGAAATGAATGAAAGATGGCGATGAAAGATCTACCAATAATATAGATACTTTAGTCACAATAATTGAATGACGCAATGTCAATTACAAAAATATCTTTTTTTTTTTCATTAAAAGCGAAGGAAACTAAACACTCAGCCATTTTGCGAGTTTTTGAGTAATTAAACCTTTAACCGGCATCACTCTTATCATACGGGTACGTTCAACTAACTGTAAATTATTTTATGGTTTATACCAAAACAGAAAAATCAAATGTTGATTTTCAATGGTGAAATATAATTCATTGAATCGATTGGGTATCTATTCCTATTTATCAAAACAAATATTTCTCAATTAATCGCTTTCAGATCGCCATCTCTAGTTTGTTCATTCATTCCCCATTCATTCGTTCATTCATACGTAGTATCTCCTCACTAGTCTGTGACTTTGTGGTTCATTCATTTTTATGCCGGTCTCCGTGTGGCTGTTGCTCGTGGTCGTGGCATGTGTAGATTTATTCTAATAAAAGAACACGTGTTTGTTGTAAAGAACGTTATAAGTGTAGAATTTCTGTCTTGTAAGGCTACGCAACGTTAAAAACTTTTATCGTTTGCTACGAATCTAATGTAAGTAACTATAATAATTACGCCATAAATATGAACTTCCAACAAGTGCTCAAACAAATTGATTTTACAGAATACCACTATGACTGAGAAAGAAGCAACGCCGGAAAATAAAGAGCAGGAGGCAAACGATAATAATGGGGTCGAAGACAGCGAATTGGAAAGCGCAATTATACGACAAGTGGAATATTACTTTAGTAAGTGGTTTAGTAATCTCTTTGGTAACTATTAACGTGTCTAAAATATACTTAATTTAATTCACGTCAATAGAAGTGTTCTTCAATTAGTTTAAGCGTGACATATTGTAAATAAAGGACTGCGCTTTGTCCTAGTGCCTTAAAATAAGTCAGAGTTCCTAACCTAAAGTTATGCTCTCAGGTTTCAAAAACCTCCTGAAATATAGGCCTCGTTTGCTTCAATACAATTTTCTGCAGATCTCGCTCTATTCCTAGATGAGAAATTACCAAACTTGCTCATGAGTGTAAGAGATTGCTTTTGGAATTTTACTGGTTTCTGTTAACCTCTGTTGAGTGTCTGTGGTACTTCTCATAGTATGGATCAGCAACACCTCATATTTACCAGTCTATGGGCCCCTAAGCAATTAAACACTATCTCGAGAGTCTTTATAAAAAACAACAAAGCACATCTATATAGGTATACTATAAAACAAAGTTGTTTCCGGCTGTCTGTACCTCATGTATTCATAAGCTTAAGACCAAATTTTTACTAATAAAATAAAATGTTACTATCTGTAATATTCTTTTTGATGGTTACTGAAAATTTTTGAAATATGAGTTAATTATTAAAAAAGTTGTGCAACTTTTATTTCATCTCAAAACTTATGAACACCCAAGGTATCTCAAGATCTGAGCTGATCTGGCTTTTAATGCAGTTTTTATCAATACAAAAGTGATTTAAGAGGAAGTAAATGTAGAACTTTTGATATTTACAGGTGATGTAAACCTACCACGTGATAAGTTCCTCAGGGAACAAGTTAAGCTGGACGATGGATGGGTTCCACTAGATGTGTTAACCAAGTTCAACCGTCTTGCCAAATTGTCAATGGATACAAATGTCATAGCCAATGCATTGAACAATTCCACATCAGGCCTTTTGGAAGTAAGTACCAAATACATTATCAGGAATCCCTAAAAATGAACATTTTGGTGACAGACAATATGCTTTATTCTAAATAATAATGGACAGACAGTAAATTATTAAATACTTTTCAAAATTAAATATTAATGATTTCTAAAATAACCCATATAGATTTCAGAGGATAATAAAAATGTGCGCAGAAATCCTGAGTTACCAATACCAGAGATGAATGAGGATCGTCGCAAAGAATTGATGGCTCGCACAATTTATGCCAAAGGCTTCCCAAAGGATGCATCTTTAGATGACTTGCTTAAGTACTTTAAACAATATGAAGAAGTGGAAAACATAATTATGAGAAGATATGTGGATAAGTCAACAAAGAAAAGAATGTTTAAAGGTTCAGTGTTTGCTACTTTCAAGACAAAAGAACAGGTAACTATTTTTTATCCAATTCATGTTTACACTGCTGGGGTACAAGCCATTCCTATGGATCGAATGGGCCATGACCCAATGAGCGGACCTAGTGCAGATTGGTGGGTGTAAAACATTGCACATGCAGCTGTCTCCAACATTTTAACTTGCCTCCCAAAGCATGAGGCAACTTGAGATAATAGATTTCTTAACTTATGCATTGCAGACCAACCAATTAGTTTTTCACAAATGTTGTTAAGATATAATAAAATAACTTCCGCCAGTGGTTTCAACCACATGGTCCCCTTTAGTGATGTAGAAAGAACCTTATATGTGAAGTCTTAACTTGAGTATTCAATGTAAACCAAATTTCATTAGAATCTGTTCATTAGTTTTTGTTTGAAAGAGTTAGAACTATAAATCCTCACAAATACATACTATACACTAAGTTTACTTTAAAATTAATTCCATTTATAATATTATGTTTTAGGCAGAGAAGTTTTTGGACACAAAGGACCTAAAGCATGGTGATACCACCCTCATAGTCCTCTGGCAAGACAAATATATACAACAAAAACAAGAAGAATACATTGCCAAGAAGGAGCAAGGAAGAGAAAGGAAAAATAAAAATAAGGGACATAATGTAAGTGATAAATTAAATATTTGTTTTTTAATTCCATTGATATCTATAACTAGTTGTTTTCCCATGGCTTCGTCGTCATATAAGTTATAGCGTATGTCACCCGCGTATAATCTAGCTTCCCATAATAGTTTTGGAACCTATTTGAAGCAAACAAACAAATAATATTAGTATAAAAGTCTCAATTCTAGATATTTTTAGAACAATTTATTCAATTTTACTTCAGCATTTTGGACATGTTCTGTTCCTAATTTCTCTCAATTTCGTAACAAGTCAGTGGCTCTTACAAACAACTTTTTTAATTATTATAGACTTGTAAGCCTTGTTATATGCATACAATATAAGTATTCTTTTAGGTGCAATGACACGAAAAATTTTGGAGTCTATTCAGTGCAAAGAAACAATCAAATCATTCCTCTTTATAATATTATTAAGGCAACCTCTCTGATGCCGATTTTAGTCCATCCATCTTGGATAACAGTTTCTATTCCATGTCAGGTCAATATAGAAAATTAATTCTGATGTGGGGGTTTTGTGTTATATTAATTGTTTTCTACCTAGTTTGGAATATGAGCAATATATGTGAGCTTCACTAATATTTATTATTATTGTTATTTGCAGGACAAGGAAGAAAAAGAAGAGTTCAAGTTACCAGCAGGTACCGTATTCCACTTCAGTGAGGGAAATGACACCATGAAGAGGGAAGACATTCGTGATGCTTTGGCTGCTTTAGGTAATTTTCAAGTAGTTCTGAACGTTTCACATTAGATTTGCAAATTGAAAGTTTGAGAAAATTTACTTCAACTTGGTTCAAATGCTTGCCAAAAGTGGCAAGATGCAGTCTTGTGTTACACTTATTCTTTGAAAACAAGTATGCAATACCTGAGGTTGAGTCTAAAAATATATTATTCTTAATACAAAATACTTTTAAAAAATCCACTTGGTCCGTGGCACTCTGAGATGGGAATCGAACTCACGACCTTTCGCAGTCCGGGCGACTCCTCTAACAACTGAGCTTCCCAGGATCCACCAGCACCGACTAATCTTTCAAGCACTTATTACTTTTTCGCTACTACAGAGCGCATTCTCATTCGCATCTCAGGGACCCAGTGACCAAGTGGATTTATTAAGCAGTTCAGTACAAATGATGTTTTGACTTGGTAGCCTTAGTACTTCGTCACTGAATATTAGGCTTTAGAAAGCTCTTGCACATTTTTGTCACAAGCTCTCTGTTACTATGTATGTGGAATTTTCTATTTTGTTTAGGTGCTGATGTAGCCTACATCGACTTCAAAGTGGGAGACAGCGAAGGCTGGGTGCGCTTAGCCAAAGAGAATTCTGCAAAGGAAATTGCAGAGAAAATCACAGATGGTAAACTTAAAATTGGTGAGAAGGAAGTAGTCTTCAAGATGTTAGAAGGTGACCAGGAAAAAGCCTATCTCGATAAGACTGTTGAAGAAATGGCTAAGCGGCGTAAGAATCAAAAGATGAATAGTAGACAAAATAAAGGCAAAAACAAAGGCAGACAAAGCAGGAAACGGAAACAAGATCAACATGATGATGCGCCTCAAGCCAAAGTGAAGGCAGAGAGTTAGTGTAATAGGCATAAGTTTAATGTTATTATATTTGACTGTATTCCTAATTACTATGAAAATTGTAGACATTGTTCATATTATTATGAGACAAATCTCGTATTCTCATTGGAACATTTACTATTCCACTACTTTTTCGTAAATTACGAACTGTAATTTTAGAAATTGTCTCTACTTGATAATTGTTGGAGATGTAAAGAAATGTAGAACAGAGTTCCGTTTCTTATTGCTGTTAAATAAAGTTTATGTCTAGTAATTAACTGAATTATTTCAAACTACCTATCTCATCTTTTTTCCGAATTAAATGAAATAGGACTAGTCGTTCACTTTTCAGCACACAATTGGCAGCATATTAGAAGAGAATGTACAGCCTCTTTTAACAGGCTACTTTTTTGTCATTGTGATCAGAGCCAACTATATGAATCATTGCATTGCATACACAGGTTGCGGGCAGCGTAGCACCGATATCATCGAGATCTATGGAGAAGGCCGTTGAGCATTAGATACCTACTAAGTCTGTGGCATTAGTTGGACATTCTATTTATGTGAATTGATTATGAAACCTATTGTGTGCGTTGTGTTTCCTTTTTTTTCAATTACTATTTATTTTTTAGAATGTTTGTAGAGATACAGCGCTATCTTATTACTAGGTGTTGCAACTTCTAACAGTTCGTCTTGCCATCCGTTGTTGTTGTGATGTTAGTGCGATGTGTAAGATGTCGCTACGTATCAGCCAAACTTAATTTTTGCTGAGTGGCAAAAGATGTTAGGCGTTTTCATGATGAAAAACTTCTTTCTTTCAACTTCTTGCTTTAATCTTATCAGTGCAGCAGAGTTCAGAATCGATGGTCTTGTAATAATAAAATTTTAAAATGTGTTGAATTTCTTTATTAGATTCACTCATTTTGACAGTAACAAAAACAAATGAAAATCACACATTTTCCTAATTTGAATTTGGAGTTAACTTCTTTATAATTTAGACTTTTTAATGATACCGAAACCAACCAGATACAAATAGTATCGCCAGAAAGATTTTATTACATGTTTATGCATACTATGTATGTGCGGAAAGACTCCCCCAACCTATTAATATTATTGATTTTTGCATGCCATTACTAAATAAGTTTCGTGAAACTTTTTTTTACCATCGTGACACTAGTCTCGTAATGTAACGTATTTTATTTGGAAATCGCCATAATGTCAAGTGTGTAGGCATGCCATAACGCCACGATAAGTTATTTATGTAGCCTATGTAGATTTCTTATTAAATGGTATTAAGGATTTAGAATAGATGGCACATATTTATATTCTCAGGCATGCTGGCAAAAGTCACCTTAGTCATAGATAATTAAAGATCATAGACTTTTATTAGACACTCAGCATAGACACAAGGGCGTATCCAAAGAGTACAGTAATAATACGGAAAAAGAGTGCCCTCTCGCGTGTATTTAGTGCCAATCAGAATTGAAGCGCCATCTGCATTACTTCCCCAAAAACTATTGCTATATAGGTATACCTATAGTAGGTATGTATTATAGTTATAGGATTCTTTCTTCGCGCCACTCGAAAAATACAAACTGTAAAGACTGTAGTAAAACTTTTAAAAGAAAATTGAGCATAATGAACAACTTTCTTTTAAAAGTTTTACTATGGTTTTTACAGTTTGTATTTTTCGAGCGACGATAACAAAAAGAGGACAAAAACTTGAAAAAGAAACGACATTGTTCACTTATTATAAGTTGTTTATTTCGATAAGTTAAACAAATGCATACAGCACATGATCAGCATAGTCATTCATAAAAAATACAAGTATACATTTTATTATTTTCTGTTTTTGTATTGTTTCCTCTTATTATAATATACTTGCGCTGTCAATTTGGTCTCGTCATCACCCTGGTAATTAATTCTTCCACTCAAAATTCTATTTACTGACTTGCACCAATTATAAATAATTAAATGTACAGTTGTTTTAACAAAATGTTAATAAAAACAATCAGTGTGATAAGAACAAGAACACACAGGAGGCAGTTACAAATAATTTTACAACAAAGTATATTTCCTGATATATTACTTTTGGTAAAAAAAAAATTTAACGTTATGTGAGTAATATTTTGCATATCACGGAAGCAATTTTCTAGTAGAGTACTTGGATAACATAACCAATTTTTATATTCTTTTGATTTTATAAATGTATTATGTAGGTTCTCTCCATTTTTATCTTGCGATATATTGCTGCATGCATTGCATTTCGCCTTTTTCAAATATTTTCTTAATGCCCATCCACATACATAGTTAATTTGACCGGCGTCACTATTCTCATTAGAGCCCATTATAATATTTTAATTAATAAATATTTCACTATCATTTTTGGGAATATCAGTAGTTTTTTAAATTTCCTGTTAAAAAAATTATGTTTTGTAGACATTGATTATAATCTGCCTCACAGTTTATTTTGAGTGAATGAGGCGTGTTGAAATATTTAATAGCAATGATTTATACGCTCCTTCAAATCCAACAGTGTTAGGAGCTATGTTTCTAACTCCTGATATTCCCAAAGAAGTTTTCAATGGGGTCTTGATTTAAATTGTTAGTCAACAAACAATCTAACCTATAGTTTTGATACAAAACCTTCCAAATTGCCTCCATGTTTTCAATTGTTTTTATAAAATTTTTGGATGAAGGAATTACACTTTCTGTTGCAATGACTTGACCAGCAATATTTTGTTTTTTTTTTATGAATTTTACACTATGCAAAATTTTTTTTGCTCTAGTCCATAACTCGTGATGGGTGAGATTCGCTTTACCGGACCTTTATAAATTTTTCCATTGGGAATGTTTAGCGTGTTGATATTTAGACTGTCAAATAAATCATCAATTAATAATGTTATGTTCACCAGTTGACGACACTCTTCTTGCAAATCTCCTCGCGCCGTAAGGTGCTCAGCAACTACAGCAATACTGTGACTGAATACTTGTGTTGCTAATTTCACTCTCATTTTATTATTTTTTTCAGGATCAATGTGTTCCTCCGTTAGTTTATTTAATAATCTTAATTCTCCATAGCATTTATCTGCCGCATAAACTTTTTGGTAATATAATCAGCAACTGTAAAATAAAAAAGAAACCTTTTGTGTACTGTTTATAATAAAGGTCCATGATAATAGTTTTTAAAATTATTTACTATAACTGTTTAAATTAAATACCTTGTGGAGGTGCGTTCTTTTAGATCTGCTACACGAACTATAGTTATGTTCCCTGATGATATCTTCTACATAAGGGATGTACTGAGAGTCAACTGAAAATTAAAGATATATCTATATTATTAATACCAAAAAATAATCTATGTCTTCAACTAGTATTTGAGAACGAAATCAATTATTTATATCAGAAATGATTGTAGTATCTACTTCTATTTAGTAATTTTTTCTCGCTCTTACATTTTCCACAGAAAACTACTGACTATATATATGTTTAGTAGTATAACTTGTAGTCTTTAGTTGTATAACTATATAATCTTCATAAATTAGATTATAATCTTTGTATCAATTTTTAGAGATTATAATAAAATTGTAATTAAACATTGCTAAATATATAAAATAATGGTTATATTAATTACTTGGTATACAAATTAAACTTAATGAGAAAAAAAACTTTATTTGAGTGATATATAGAATGATGGTTATATTAACAAAAATTAAAACAGGTGAACTTTATATAAGTGCTAAATGAATTGTTTTTAGGCGTCTTGAATATTATATATGTTGATATAAAAAAAAATGAATATTACTTAATACAAGTCTTATTTTAAACAAAATTCGACCTCCGTAGGCGAGTGGTTCGCACGCCGGTTTCAAGGTGTCGCCATCTCTGAGGTCCCGGGTTCGTTTCCCGGTCGGGTCAATGTAGAAAATGAACTTTTCTTTATTGACTCGGGTCTGGGTGTTGTGGTACCTTCGTTGTCTCAGATACTCCATAATACGGGGGCTTTAGCTACTCATCTTGGAATCTGAGCAATGTATGTGATGTTGTTAAATATTTATTTATTTATATATTCATTCACCTCCACCTAATATAAGATCACACTGAGCTAATTAAATGTCTTGTTAATGTCAGTCAGTAAATGTCAATAGTCATTATTTCAAATGTACATTTTATAATAATAAAATTATTGATATGAAATTATATAAAAAGTTATTATAATAATTAAGCATACCCAGTATACTAGTGTGTATTAATAATTATTTATTTACCTGAAGAGGACATTTGGGAAGATTGCAATTTATCATGAGATTGGTTGCCATACTTTGAAGAATACAAACTTTCCTCTGTCATTGTTGGAAACAAACCTGTAATAAAAATGAACAATTATGTAATTTCTTCCATAAAAAATAGATTATTAAAATCTTTATTTTAAATTTAATTCAAATTTATAGTTCCAAGTTAAATTTACCTGAACTTCTTGACAATTGACTATTTTCTTCATTAGGAGCAACTGGGAGCTCCTCAAGAATTCCCCTTGAACCTGGAAATTATAAAAATACTCTTTTGAGTTTTACTAAAACAATAACTATACATGTCACTGGTTGGTTGGATATGTAATGGTTATTGGTGGTAATTTTTATATACAGTAGAAATTAGAAAACATCATGTGATTGATCAATATATTAAATTGAATCATTACAAATCTAGCTGTGCTCGTGACTTTTAGGAAAGTGTATGTATAGAATTTAGTAATATTATAATTTGTCCTGTTACTATTACTAAGCCAACATAGATTTGGAGTTTTTTTTTTGTTTTGTTTATTTGGGTCAACAAACAGTTTTACAATAGCATTCCAATTTATGATATGATGTACACAGTTTTATAATTGCAAAAGCAACGTTAACTACAAGTTACTATGAGTAGTTGAAAGTTGCATATGTTATCAGCTTAAACACTTACTAAGAAAAATGAACACTACACAAACAAAACTGTTACAAATATGATATATATATTACTTTATGATGATATGGCATTGCAATTTAGTTCACTTATTCTTTCTTAACTAACTCTTTGAATTTTGTTTTGTTTAAATTGAATATGTCGATTTCATGTAAACCATTGTTATAAAATTTTGCTACTCAATGCACTGGAGATCTCTTGCCTGTATTTGTACAAAATTTAAATATAGCAAACAGTTAGTGTTTACGCAGGGAGCTCGTTTGCGCCCGCTTAGGTACTAAATAATTAATTTTATTTATTAATTCAGTACAGTCATACTCACTGTGACATATATTAAATAAGCCAACCGCTTTCAGGTATTGCCGTCTAGATTTTAAATCTGTCAATCGGGGCCATACTAATTAATGTTCACATGACACACAAGCACATCTGCACCTATATGGAGTTTGTCAAAACATAGCCCATCCTTTTTTTATTCCCATTGTTTCATAATGTTTGTTTCATTACACATTTTTATGTTATTCCCAAGATTTGTGCCTAAGCGATTTCTAAACTTTTACTGTATTTCAAAATAAACATACATACCCTGTTAATGCACTGATGGGACAGCCAAAGCATTCAAACGTCTAAAACGACTTGTATGTCTGTCTATAAAATGAATATCGCAAACTTTTTCTTTTTGTTTCCAGTTTTCCACCAACCAATGTAACCCAAGCTTTGAAACATTCAGGAAACTTCAGGGTTTGGGAATGAGTGCATAGTGACATCTGAAACAGGAAGTCATGGCAATATTATAGACATTAAAGATATAGTCATTATATAGTTATTATCTCATTCTTTCCACTTTATACGGTGTGTTATAGAAACTTATTGGTTATTTTTGTTTCGTTAGTGTGTTGATAAGAAAATAAGAAGGAAAATAAATAATTGATAACCTCATTGTTAAAGTCTAGATTTTAAATCTGTCAATCGGGGCCATACTAATTAATGTTCACATGACACACAAGCACATCTGCACCTATATGGAGTTTGTCAAAACATAGCCCATCCTTTTTTTATTCCCATTGTTTCATAATGTTTGTTTCATTACACATTTTTATGTTATTCCTAAGATTTGTGCCTAAAGCGATTTCTAAACTTTTACTGTATTTCAAAATAAACATACATACCCTGTTAATTCTCTGATGGGACAGCCAAAGCATTCAAACGTCTAAAACGACTTGTATGTCTGTGTATAAAATGAATATCGCAAACTTTTTCCTTCTGTTTCCAGTTTTCCACCAACCAATGTAACCCAAGCTTTGAAACGTTCAGGAAACTTCAGGTTTTGGGAATGAGTGCATAGTGACATCTGAAACAGGAAGTCATGGCAATATTATAGACATTAAAGATATAGCCATTATATAGTTATTATCTCATTCTTTCCACTTTATACGGTGTGTTATAGAAACTTATTGGTTATTTTTGTTTCGTTAGTGTGTTGATAAGAAGGAAAATAAATAATTGATAACCTCATTGTTAAAGTCAATTAAAAACATGATGTGAGTTAGCTGCATTGAAGTTTAATAGATTATTATTATGCTTACCACTAGGTGTCGTCCGAAAGAACAAAGTCGGGGCATTACGACAATAATAATCTTAACACAAAACAAACTTAAATAAGCGTCCTGTCGCGATAAAGTTCTGAAACTACAGAAATCCACAGCACAAATACACGGTAAGGTGGAGAAGAATAAATCTCAACTCGACACACTTAACTTGAGGTTTTGTAGCCACTAGAACAAAATGACGAAGACAAAATACAAATATATGAACGCAAGAGCACAGTAATCGCCATATTGATTTTGACAAATTGATCCAAATAAGTAAAAAATTTCGTCTTTTCGAGAGTGCGTGTAGCGTCATCTAGTATTGTTTATGCACACCTGGTAGTACTCATAATAGTTTTGGGGAAATAAAATGGATGTCGCTACTATCTTTGCAAAATTATGGCTACTAAGGGAGTGTCCCCCCCGTGGGCGTATCTGTCAAAGTCAATCACTCATTTGTCTGATTAATCGATGATCCAAATAGACTGAAAATGAGATTATTTTAGCGTTATTTGCCTGGCGTTTCATAAGAAAATCAATATCAATATCTCTATTTTCTAAATTGTTGACAAAATAGTACCAAATAATGAAACCAGACGCAGAAACCTTAGAAACGAATGAAGAAGCAGACGCTTCGGTTGCTGGCGATGCAATAGGCGACACCGTCTACAGTGAACGCTTTGTCCTCAAAATTCTATTGAAACTTGCGAATTTGGACTCCCTCAAAGATGAAGTCAAAGACAAATCGTTCGAAGATGACCTTTGTACGCTCTGGGACATGACTGCCGATAAAGACGTGGTATTATTCCTACAGAAACATGACGTATTGAATTTATTCAATTTTGCGTTGCCTACGATAGAAACACCACGTATCATAGAAATAATTGTTGGAATTATAGGTAATATGTGTTGTCAAAGAATAGCCGTTGCAAAACTTATAAAAATGGAAAACTTTCTAAGACTCCTTTTAGAATATATAAAGACTGATGATAGCTTAGTTCTGATACAGTTGTTACGTTTAGTTAGTTCCGCTTTATTCTTAGCCGAATGCGAAGACATACCAATATGGATGAATTTATTTGAAAGTGTTGGTTATTCTGAAGCATTGTACTTTATACTCAAAAATTCCTCACACAAACAGTTGCTAATAACAGCTATAGAAAATACAAACTCAGTATGTTCCTATTGTAATACAGATAATGTGAGAACAACTTTTTATGCTCGCTTTGTAAATGTAGAAGCTGTTGTAAGCTTAACAACTGCCTTTACAGAAGTAGTAGTAAATCAAAAAGAATCATGTGAAAAAGAAGAATTAGAAAGAGTGTTACTCATAAGTTTGCAAATAACACTGAATATGGTAGGTTTTGAAAATGCTTCTGAAAAATTCCATTCTTGTAAGGATAGTGTGCTATCTATGATAAAACATATTCTCTTATATTATGAAGACAAACTTATAAATCAAAAAGAGATTGATACAGATTTAGTTGATATTGTGGATTCTACAATTACAATTGTTAATTTACTTCAATTGAGTGAATCAAGTGCTATAGATGTTTTCTTTGTACCCTGCCACAATATGTGGAAAGCTATGAGTGTAGCCACAAAGTCTCATCAAAATGGGAATTCAGACTTTGAAGATAGTAATGAAGATTTAGCACAGATTTCTAAAGAAATAAAATTGCCACTTTGTAATTTGTTGTGTGGTTATGTCTTGAAATGTTCAGAAACACATCTATTAACTGCATTAGACGTAATTAATGGGGATTATGAGATAATAGTTTGTGAAGTAGATAGTGAAATCCGAAATAATGTATCAAGAAGAGCCACAAACTATAGGACTAGACTTAAGGAAATTATTGATTCATAATAAATTGTGGAAATTCATAATCTTTTCTGATTTCATTATAGCCCTGTTTACAGTTGGGCCAATAAAATAGGCCACATTTGACAAATTTCATTGTAGTGTATCCTGTCTAAAATCATTGATTAAATTAATCGTAATGGTTTTCATACATATGTACATGGAATGAAGTAATTATCTAAAAATTAATATCAAATAAGAAGATAGGTTTTGATATTTTTAAAGATACAAAAAAAGATGTAGGTTCATATTGTTACCAATCTGATATTTGAAAACAGGTAGAAGAAAAGTTTGATTTGTTATTAAAAACTTATTTGTACTGCCCATAATGTAAGAGGATTAATTGATATATGTCAAAAATAATGACCCAACTTGTAATTATGGTGATTGTAATTTGGACTTACAACAAATAAAGTATGACAAAATAGGTGATGAACTTGGCTGCTACACAACTTTTAGGAAAAAAGGATTGGTTATGTAACAGTTTTTGAAACATTACATAGTAAATAATGGAATGAAATGAAAATATCTTTATTCAAGTAGGCTATTACAAGCACTTTAATCGTCCAAAAAAAAATTTTTTTCCCCTACCACTTGTTCAGGACGTCTTTTAGCTGACAAGAAGAACAAGCGAACGAAACTTACCAGCTTTTCATCATAAGTAATGACATTTACATAAATTATGTCATTACCAAAATAATATGTATTATCACCAGAGGTCGGAATTAGGTAGAGTTATTTATGTACTTGCATCGAAATGTTGATATTAATGTAGACCTTCCCGGGATTTCTTTATTTCTTTCTTTCATTGATGTAAGTTTGGCAACGTCGTGCGTGCAGTAGTTTAAATTGTGTAAAAGTAAAAAACTTTTTATTTAAAAAATCACGGGATTTTTCTGCTCCACTTTATTCTTTCGCTGTATGAAATCAGTGTAAGTACATGAATAACTCTACCTAATTCCGACCACTGATTATCACAATAATAAATATAACTTTCAAAGTCTGTAGGACATAGGTTGAACATATAATTAGTGTTTATAGAACAAAGCAAAGGCTATCAATTCCATGCATTGCGATCCTTAAAATAATCATCAACTTTATAATAGCCTTTACTCATAAGTATATTCTTTACATGAATTTGAAATTTATTTATGGGTAGGTCAATTACATTTTGTGGAACTTTATTGAACATAGCAATACATTTACCCAGAAATGATCCTCTGGTTTTTTGAAGCCTAAAGCTTGGAACGGCAAGTTTATTTTTATTTCTTGTGTTAAGATTATGAACACTACTTTTTTTTTGTGAAGGAATCGTAATGTTTTCTTGTGTACATAATATTCTCATAGATGTATTGAGAGGCAACAGTCAGAATATTTATTTCTTTAAATATTTCTCTGAGAGATTCCCTAGACCGTAAAATATATATAGCACGGACAGCTCTCTTTTGTAGAATAAAAATATCCTGAATGCTAGCCGCAGAACCCCACAACAATATACCATACGTCATTACACTATGAAAATAACTAAAATATACCAATCTTGCCGTTTCAACATTTGTCAAGAGTCTAATTTTCTTAACAGCTAAAGCTGCAGAACTCAGTCTACTTGACAAGCTATCAATATGAGGATCCCATAGCAGTCGGGAATCTAGTGTAATACCAAGGAACTTTGTCGATTCTACTAACTCAACTTTTTCACTATTTACATTTATAAGTGTACTGACATGCCTCACATTAGGTAATGCAAACTTTATGCATTTCGTTTTATTTGAATTGAGCTTTAAATTATTATTATCAAGCCACTGTAGAACATTGTCGAGAGCATTATTTACATCGTCAAAACAATCATTACCCCTCTCAACTTTAAACAGTAAAGAGGTGTCATCTGCAAATAATACTGTCTCGCACAAATTCTTCGTAAAGTGAGGAAGATCATTAATATAAATTATAAAAAGCAAAGGTCCTAATACCGATCCCTGAGGTACGCCCATAGTAACCCTGTTTAACAAGTTTGTCATTTTATAATTTATAAATAAAAAAAAAAACAAAAAATGTTTTGTGCTATTGAGCAATGATTTAGTTAATTATAATTGTACAATTGATGCTTTTATTTAAAAAAATGCAATGTTTTTATCAAATTACTTCTTATTAATTTCTTTTCTATTACGCCGTTTTTGTACAACATTACGTTCTATCTTTGTTTTGAAGTGTCGAATATGACGTATTACATTCCTGTCCGTCAAACTAAATTCTATCAGGAGATATGTAGTTACTATTCGTATAACCGAATAATGAATATGAGACTATACTCCATTCATTATAGCATTAGACAGAAGTTAAATAAGGTTCTTTTTATGGTATACTTTGTGACAAAATATCTTTTTAATTTTGTCAGACTATAATGTACCTATTCATAATTGTGAAAATACGTAATCTGGGATTGTCATTGATTGTGAATGCTACTGCCTTTCTTGTTGTTTTGCCGTTTTCCGTGATTAAGTTGTTATTGTTTTATTTTTAATTTTGTTAAATATGGACGATGCCGGTGCAGGCCGGAGTGGCCCCCATACCTACCCTCAACCTTTAACATTTCTGATAAATGTTATAAAAGTAATAAACCTCGAAAAAAAACATTTTGTGTGCCTTTCTTTCCTGGGCATAGATATAACTAACTTCTATTTTAATTATATACACTTTGAAAAAGAATTTATCAAAACAATTGATAGATAGTTTTAGTTCCATGTTGGCTTAGAAGTAAAAGATGAATTTACTCCCAAGCCAACATGGAAAACTAAATTAGAAATTAAAAGAAAATTCTGGCCTCAACTCAACCCCGAGGTATCGTAAAAAAATGGACAATTGCCCAGCTCTTTTAGACTGCCTAACATTTAAAGTTTCAACAAAACTCTAATATTTATTTTTTAAATATATCTTGAAAATAAAATTTTCTGCACTGCTGCTTCTATAACCCTCTTTTTTCTAATGTTATAATGAATGGAGTATAGATGGATCGAGAATTTATTTCAAAATCGAAGACGGTGGCGCTGCCAGACTGACACACGTTTTTCAATGCTTTCATGTCACATGTACTTAATGTAAGGAATGTTTTTTGTGTAAATAACTTTAGTAAAATAGATGATTAAATAGGTGATTTTTTTTTCTGCGGTTTCAGTCAATAAAATTGCCGTCACTATTCTGCCAGGATATAAAAGAAACTACAAGAAGTTCATGGGATTATATATTTTGTAGACATTATAAAGCAACATTTACATTACCATAAACAAGTTTTACACCGTCGCAGCGGGCGGCGGACTAAAACTACTCGAATGTAACAGTACATCATCGTAACAAAACAAAGCTCTCTCATACACGCGAGACCGCGCACCGCCGAGGCCAGTCCATTAAAAAGGCGATTCGTTTAAGTTTGAGCTCAGCCAGGATTGACCATAAACATAAGAGTTAAAATATCTTCATAATGTCATCGCAGCCAATCTCGCCGCTTTGAGTACATTATCTCTTAATTAAAATCGCTACAATGACGCGAGTGCGCGGCTACTACAATTTGTCATAACCTGATATGCATCTCACATTAAAAAAACGTACACCACAAATACTGAAAGGGAGAATGGAGATTAATAACTGTATACTTTACATTTAAATGTACTTATAACTAACTAACCACGAGCCTACTAGTTCCTTGAGCGGAACATAATCGAACATTTTTTTAAATATCGATGCGTAAATATTTAGATATTATATCATTACAGGTAATAATAAAAACAGGATAAAGACTAGACTTTACACTGATCAACGACAAATTGGCTAACAGCAACATATCGCGAGGGCGCCTCCCTGCGGACGGCGGGCGGAACTAGTGCGATGATCCCGTTAACTAATATCAAAATTAGCAAACGCCCTTCTTGTAAAAAACGTTTCGCTGCCTCAAGACCGCCGCTCGCAAGATGGCGCGTTTTAACATACTTAATAAAACATTACAATGTTACCTACTCAATAAATTAGATAAATTATCTGAATTTAAAACAAGTCTTAGGCTTCTGATAAACATTGTTTGTAGTACCATGACATGACAAATTCCATTGGCGCTACGATCGAAAGGCGCGCATAGTGCGCGTCTACTGAAATTATATTTACAAAGAATAAAATCGTAGGCAGAACAAGCCGCGGGTGATATGAACGCAGGTAAACCCCTTTTGTACCGACAGGGATATGTATTTGTATACTTTGTGACATTGAATAGCGAACACCTAACACTGTAAATACTACACATAAAATGCCAATTCAACATTTGTAGCCAACACGAAACTGAAAAATAATTCAGAAATCATTAACCTAATTAAATCCACTAAAGTTTCGTCGTACCAATTGATTACATTAAAATTATAATGCATACACAATTTGTGTAAAATAAATTAACTAATAATTAATTATAATTGAATTAATTTCCATAGAATGAAATCCATTCAGAATACTTTCCGTCATTTTATATAACTTCCAATGGTCCGATTTTGGCACTTACCGTCAAGATACATGTAAAATAATACTATCGAACTGCAGAATGGCAGTGTTTCAATTATAGACATTAATCTGTAACAGAGTATGGAGAGGACAGGCAAGATTCAAAATGCACCTTATATCACTTGAATTTTGGACCCAATTTTGTTCTCAATCGCTTAAAGAGTAATTAACATAAAATAATTTTATTTGCAACATCAATAAATGGGTTAAAATTGAAAACAAACAAGTCCAAATTTGCAAGGTTAAAAATACAAAGATACTAATCGTTGTATTTCTGTCCCCAATATACTCTGATACCTCTCCTGTTAGATATGTTCGATAAATATGATCGAAACGGTTGTATTTTTTAATAATAAAGCTCTTTAATATATGCTCTTAATTCTGTATATTAACTAGGTATCGAACACAGAAACAGAAAAGCGTAGCGTTCTACATATAGAAAATTTTCTTTGGTATATTTTTGTGAGCAACGACAAATGATTACAGTTCGAGTATATTGACATCCATAATTCTAGAAGCGATAATGATATATTCCATATTGCACTATTATGGAATCTTGGACGTTTGGAGTGTACCTTATTATTGAACAATTCGGTGCCATATCGAGCGCGTTCGGTTTTCGTTTAAACGCAGCAACCTATGGAACCCCACCCGCTGGCCTTCCGACCGAACATCGAATATATCCTATTGTTCCGATAACAATTTTTATTGCAGCCGAGTGCACGAGGCCACATGACCTCTGATCACTGGAATGTTCACACATCGACGACATAAAATAACGGCCAGGCCCCACATACAAATATTGCTTTCTTTAAGCGTATTAAAAATCCATCGAGAGTAGGTAAGATTACATTCATTTTGTACTTGCACGCAGACATCTAAACACGAATAAAATATACATAGAAACAACCTAGTTTCCCCGTCTTTCGTTGTCTAGAACGGACAGTCGCGTTCACATCTATATATATATAGGACACCTACGCGGTTCACACACAGAGATTAACGAGTCACAGAACAATAAATATAGGAATACATCTACACAGTCTGTTACAACGGCAAGGGAGATATCGATACATCACACGGTTAAAAAAATTTCACTATTTTCGCGATCGATTTATTCCGTTTCGACTAAAATACGAGGTCCACACCACTACCGGAACTTCAAAAGGTCTTAATACGGTTCAAATAGCAATGAAGGGCTGAGGATCGCTCCGATTTCGATGGATTGAATCGTTCGCGAAAATGGCGGTGATGTGGGAGGAGGAAACAAATACGACTTCCACTACCACTACCGTGACATCGAATGTCTAAATAAAGTTCAAAGACCGATAAACGATCGGCGATCGCGTTGATTTCGACGGATTAAATTGTTCGCGAAAATGGCGGTGATGTACGCGCGGGGCTGTTGAATCATAGAGATGCGGTCGACAGCGGAGAGTCCCGGGCGGTGGGCGGCTCAGGCGCCGGAGAAGCCGTACACCTCGAGCACTCTGATCTCGAAGTCACCGCTGGGGCATAGCGGCGGATTGTTGAATGTCGAACAACGGTCCGTCTTGCCGAACCTTATGTTTTCATCCATCCATATCGCTTGCCCCTCACTGTTTGTAGTAAAAAAAAACAATATTTTTAGTTCATTAATAAATGAATTGGTGAACTAAAGGCTAAATATAAATAATCTTTAAAAATTATGCAACATTAGGGGTTTCCATGCATTGTCATATCACAAAGTTAGTTTGTTTTTTCGAGCTAATACAAAAAGGATCAATATCAAGGAAATCTCTTTTCTATAAATATAATTTTAGCTAATTATGATTATCGGATTAGCAGTGTTAGATAAGATTTGCTGAATACCAATCAGATTTAACAAAGTATTTCTTTTATTACAGTGCAGCTGCAATAGAAATACAATAATTGGCTACTTGACTGTTTAAAAAAAAGTATTTTTAAGTTTTCATATTATCATATTAAACCACTATCAGATTTATTTTTCTACAAAAAGTGTTACATATTATATAAAAGAAAAAACATTTGTATTCATTACTTTAAATTGGCCTGCGAAAACAATCAGTCACGTGACATTTCGAGTCGTGACGTCACTTTTCATTACACATGAGTATTAGTTGCACTCGCAGCAAAGACGTTGACGTTTAAATTATTGGAATGTGACGTCACATGATGCTTTGTCATGGCTGTCCACATTTCGGCAATCGGTTCTTGTAATCCACACATATTAGTAAATATATATTATACTTAAATTATATTTTAAAACAAAAAAAAAACAATGCCAAATAGTCAATTTTGCCAAAAAACCCTGAGGTCATACCGAAGTTTTTGATTTCTTATCTAGTACTAATAATTTAGTGTCTAAGGCATTAGATCCATCTAAGATTATAATAATGTCTTATCTAAGGACATTATCTTCTCTTACCTAGATGTCATAAAAAAACCATGAACATATCATTAACCGACTGAGACTTCTGATGCTGGACTAAGAGAGAGAGAGAAAAAAGCGAACAACTGACCCTCCACCGATAGTGATCATCTTGGAGTCCGCGGCCATGAACAACGAGTTGGCGTGAGGTGTTCTGCCGTCCGCCGTATCAGTGTCGTCTTGTAAACATCCCACCCACGGATACTTGGCGCGGACGGGATGTAAGCTGGGAACATAATATTATAGACACTGACCCTCCTCCTATGGTGATCATCTTCGAGTCCGCGGCCATGAACAGCTCGGAGCCGTGGCCGAACCGTTCCTCCTTGTCCGGCTGGGAGCACCCCACCCACGGGTACTTGGCTCGCTCCGGGTAAAGGCTGCAATCGCGCGTTGTATTTACAAACGTGGGTTAAGCACGGTTAGATGGCATGTGTGTTTCGCTCAACGAGTTGGTGTCATAGTTTAACATGTATATTAATACAGGTGTGTTTCATTAATACAGGTGCAATACGGGTGTAGACAGTAAACGAAAATAAATACATATTATTTATTTTTTCTGGTAGTGTTTAATATACTATTACTCATAATCACACTTGCATGCTTATTATATTTCTTAAACTAATTATGAAAAAACAAATATTTTATGCTAGTTGTCACGAGACTGCAAACAGCGTGTGACGTCACGCCCTTCTTACTCATATCAGAACTTAGAGAATTCAACCTTATGCGTTATAAAACGATAATCGTTTCAGCATGCCGTGACGTCATAGCCATGACGGAAGTGGCGTTTTCGCGGGAAATAGTTAAATTAAATTTATTATATGAATGATATATTTTTTTTAATATTTTTGTTTAGATATATTTCATGTATATTTAGAAAATAAAAGTAGTCTACACCCCTATTAAAAAGGTTATCGTTCAAAATATATACAGTTTAGCATGCGTTCAATCTTTCGATTTCGAATGGATATGGGATTAAGCTATTTAGTTGAACCTTTGGTATATTTATAGAAAGCATCTTTTAAAATACTACAGTGGATAACCTATTACTCTGTTTTAACCAATTAACATGCATCTGATGACAGAAAGAGAATAGCCCGCAGAAATTGGGCAAATGAAAGATGCTAATGAAAGTAGAGTGAAAATCAGTGCCAAAAACAGAGACAAAGCAATGTGACAAAATACAGTGAATTATTATTAATATGTTACTCTGAGATTTAATCATTAAAATTGATATTTGTTTCATATGCGAGTTAGAAAACGTCAATTAGAGTCATTCTTCATATAAATATAATATTTCAAATATTTCTAAATATGCTACGTAGTCACTAAGTAGCCTATAGCTATGTCATTTTAATAAAAAAAAGGCTAATTGTGAACTCCTTTTTCACGTAATCGGTTAAAATACTAGTCTATGAATTCTTAATGAAAAATACTTAAAAAGATCCACTGAATCCCTGGCACTCCGAGATTAATATTTTAATATATATTGAAACCGATTTGAGAGACAGTAAGTATTTCAGCGGTAATTATAGTTTTTAATACAATAAATTCGCATCCATCGAATATAAACGTGCCTAATGGCTTATTTATTGATTAATAAAAACCTGCGTGCGGAATGAGAACGATTTCTGTGTTCAGTTCATTTTCATTGATCATTCATTTGTTGATATTGATCGATAATCAATGAAATGAGCACACAGAGATAAATCGTAATCGATTTCCGCATGCGGGTCCCGAAAACAAATATAAATAAACCATTAGCTAATTCTACATTGTACAGAGTTTATAGAGAAATAGCACTTATTAATTTGTCACTGTATCAACCTAAAGCATGCTATGGTATAACAAGGTGTTAATTAAATCGATGCTTAGTTGTAATTTTCCTTTTTTTAACATCCATCTGCATCGATGGATATGCTGATAAATTTAAAAACAAAGCATTCAAATGTCCATCCATGAGCGAAACAAGCAAGCATTCTATGAGCATTATAGCATGGACGCATGAAAGAGGTAAATGACGTATATAAATGAGCAGCGTTTACCCGGAGGTACCAAGACCATAATGATAGAAGCGCGACTAATACATTGATATGTCTGATATATATATATATATATTTGAATCACCATCGGTAATAGCAGTGAAACATTCGATAAGGTATTAATTTTGGTGGTAAGCTAAAGTATAACTTATATGTAAACCCATAACGTCGATTTCCGAGTAGCAAAATCACTGAGAAAATCAATCTATTTTTATTATTATACACAGGAACTTAATGGAATATTCTCTTGTAAAATAATATTATAGTTAGATTATTCTTTAATTAGATATATTTAGAACTTTCCACCGTCGGTATTTATACATTACTATTGAAATCTTTACCTTAAAGAGTATTTTACCGTTAGACAGATGGTGCAATTTTGATCTTAAACCCAATAACATTCAAACGATCACATCAGAGAACTTATTCACTTGAAATAAAACAGATAATAAAAATATATATACTTGGTGGTTCTATATTCCGTAAAGAAAAACTAAAAGTTGTATATTCTAATTTAATTTAAAATTATTTATGATATAATGGTTATCATCTTGCAATGTGCATATAAATATTTCTTAAGGGGTAAAAAACCACTCTTATTAAGATAAATAAAAGCAAAGCGTCTTGGGGCGTCGTATCTCGAAACGGACACTATAATTCCATCATAGACGACAAAGAATAATTGTAAACTAATTATATTGGTAAGTGGTATTATTAAAACGTTTATATTAATCCATGCCGGCATATCAGAATTAAAAAATTCGTTACCTTTCTTTACAATTTATTCTTAATCGATAATGATAAACATATAAATATATACTTATATTTTTTTATATTTGCAGTACTAATTATTCTACCCTTCATATATGGTAAAAATTAATTATTCGATTAGGAAATTAAAGAGTATGCTGTCGGCGCCGACATATCAATTTCATGGAACAGAACATGTTGCTGCAACTTACTAGCAGTACAAGTAAACAGTTTTTTTTATTTACGTCAAACGTCATTCACAGGGTAGTATCCAAAGAGTAAGTAATATCATTAGAAAATCATCCAAAGAGTAAAGTATAATTGGAAGGTTATTTTTATTGCATATTTGGATGTAAGAATGGAATCATTCAATACCAAGAGACAACATGTTCGAAAAAGTTTGTTTGTTTACTACATGCGCTAGTGCTGACATCTATAACGATCTTTGCTTAATATTATACGTCACTATAAAATAAAACTATATTTACCTGAACAGGAATGTCTCCCCCGTACCGAAGTAAGCCTGCCTGTTCCCGCGTTCGTCTTTCTGGTTTCGTTCGAACCATCGCGTCGAACAGTATGCTCCAAAAACCTGAGGTATGAAAAAAACTATAAGTTTACTTTTGTAATAATAATGTATTATTTTTTTAGTCTATATTTATTTCCCACTTTTACTCTTGTTGAAATTTTTTTTGTTCAATTGACAAGAATTCAGATAAAAAAGTAAAAACTATTTTTAGTAGGAAAGGCTGGGTTTAGACTCTTTTTGTTGCCAGCTCTTTACTCATGGCTCGATGCAATTCGACCGATATCGAATCGTACGTAGATTTATAATACATGAATGGATCTCGATGGATTCCGACCGTTTTATTTGAGATCCGTATAAACCTTCCGAATTCAATCTATTCATATATGAAGTGTGTGTTCGCAGTTTTGCGTACATATACGTGTTCGTATTAAATGTGCGCTTGCGCGTTTTCCGCCCCACCCGGCAACGCCTATATTGCGTTCGTATGGTACTTTGAATATCTCATCAGTAATCTATTTAATGTATCAACTGTTGGAGCATTCGTTTTCTCTATGGATCGAATCAAATACCTAAGTAGAAAGGGACCCAATGCGTATTAGTGGGCGTTAACGATTACCGCCGCGCTGACCACTGCCCTATAATACCTAACGACTTTTTATAGCAGAATGTGTGTGTATTGTAGAAGATTGAATGGAAAAATTGATTGATATGCCTAGTTGCTATGATATTGAGCTGATTGCAGATAAGATTATCTAGACCATGTAGGCACTTTTTCTTATTTCAAATCATCAAAATTGAGATTGTATATTCAAAAATGAATAGAATTACATTAAATTCTAAAGCTAAATTTGTATATAACGTGACACAATCAATTCAAAAACGGACTTCATACATAAATATGGATCATAGTGAACTTAGTGCGGTGATTTAAATTTGTAATAAAACTTGTTTCTAAAGCTGTTTCGTGTTTAGATGTAAAATACAACGCATAATATGTCCGTTTCACTCACACTTAGACCGACTCTTCGATTCATCATCATTATTCTGATTAGCCGACATATGATGACATATGATGACATATGACATATGTGCTCGAGAATATAACTTGTACGTACGAATTGACGTGACATCTGAATAGATATTCCTATTTCCCCGAAAACAAAATGCATTTTCATTATGCAATGGTGCACGCACTTGAAAACGTGACTATTTGGTAACTTCCACCAAAATAGCATAAAAAATCACTATTGGACGAAATTAACTCTCCTCTTCAGAAGACATTAAATGTCGATTGTGCCTACGATCGTTACAATTAGGAATCAACACTGACCCATTCTCTCCATTCACTCCCGCTGCAGGGGCTCAGACCTTTTTTATGGATAGTTAATGAGGATCCTCCTTATTAACCATCCACAAGGAAGGCCTTTACCGTGGCCCTCCACGCTGGCAAAATGAGGATTGTATGGTATTAACAACTGCAAACTTATCCGTGACCAACGGCTTAACGTGTCTTCCGAAGCACGGAGTAATTCAAGATCATATTTTTTGGTCACCCACCCATCCCGCGATCGACCCTTCCGAAAGTTGCTTAATAAGAACCAATCCACTACGCCACCGAGCTACTCTTTTACTAGCTAGCTAGTCATATATTAGGAAAGGTCTTTACCCCAGGGGCCACCCATAAAGTACATCACACATTAGGAGGGGGGGATATTACTCTTATTACTATACCTCATTATTACACGTCTTGATCATCAGTAGCGTGGGCTCGTGGTGCTCAACGCGCACGTAGAATGTTGTTAGCGAGCAGCCGTGCTCCTCGGTCGTATAAAGTAGCACCGGCTGATACATAGTGATGCGCACGGGCAGCCACGACCACAGCGTGAACAGCTGGAAAACAGACAAACTGTTTTAGACTCGCCTGCACTTGTTCTTACAGATCAGAAAAAGGAGAACTTTAAATTAACTTCAATTAATTTGGCCAAGGAACTAGGAGTGAGAATACTTTCTATATTTATTGAAAAAAAAAAGCTAAAGATTTTGAGATTAAGACTTACGCAGAACTACAATGATACAATAAAGTTATTCACTCATACAGATGAGTTTCAAATCTTGAAGTCTAAAATACTGTTACTACGATTGGTGTCAACATTACCAGATTACTTATAACTTACCATCAGAACATCCGTATTTTAAAAAAATAAGGTCAGTGAAATTCTTTTTAATCTTAAAATGAACCAAGACCGTATTTTACTGATTTTGTTTAAATTCTATTGAATATTTTGATTATCTCATATACACATAGTTGTTTTGTTATAATTTAAGGTTAACAATTGTAATATTATTTTTCGAAATCAAATATTTACATTTAAATAAAATATTTTTGACTTCGAAAAATATTCCCAATATAACTCTAATAATAATAGTAAAAATACTAAAAATGTAAATTAAACTGAAGCCTTTTTAGAATAAGATACTTTTGCTACCACTGCTTGGTTGTATTGAAACATGATTTAAATATAATATATGATAACTTAAATTTACAATATTTGAGTTTCTAGAAATATTTAATTAAATTGAAAATATTTAATTTTTATAACTTTTGCAATATCCAATACATTTATTTTACAACCCAAGATCACGCGCCTTTCATACGATGGTAACAAAAACCGTATATCTAAAAAAGACTCAATTTTGAACATAGATGACGTCACAATATTAGTGGTGTCAGATTAGTCGACGCCTTAAGAGTGCCAAGTGCGGTGCACACAACTGTTTAGACGTCATACAAAAACACTACGAAACTAACAGAACGACATCGCATGCAACATTTATACTCGAATAAATAAATAAAATGCAACCACCTAAATAATTTGAGTTGGCCGAGCCAAATTTCACACCTCAGATACGAGCTTATAATGAATTGATTCATCACAGATTGAATACAAATATTTACTGCTAAACACAGTTCATATTTGTATGTATATTGCATGATGCGTTAATAAATAGCATAAATTCAAAGTATATATACAGCAAACATCATTGAAAAACACAATCGATAATTCTACTTTAGTATGATGGCATTATGAATTGAATGTATTTTAAATAGGCAGTGAAAAATGGCAATTCTAATGAATCAAACACATATTTCATACACAGGTCCTAAGAAAATCTACAATGAGACAAACTAAATTCTAAGATTAAACTAAATTCAAGGATGTATGTATATTACCGACGACTACCTGTTGGTCCCCTACAACTTGTCGATATCTCTCGTGCGTATAATAAGTGACGGTTAGACATCGTAAGTAGAAAGAAATACCGCAACATTAACGGTACAGCTGTTTTGGAAGATGTGGACACATATTTGTGATTTTGAGATAAGTGTTTTTGCTTCGACATGGCCGTCTATGAAAAACCAAACTACATAGGTATATATTAATGTAATTCTTATTATATACACATATATTACCAATTAATAATTAAAATATTTAAAAAAATAATGATTATGAAGATGTTTACATAACACTATTTCTTCTGTAATTAAGTATAACTTTTGTATAGCACCATTTGACGTTTTCAATTTTAAAGCTTTCGAATGTAAAAGTCAACAAGTGCAAAAATAATAAGAAAAAGATGTGCAAGAGCTTTCTAAAGCTTGATATTCCAGTATGTTGAAGTACTAAGGGTATATAATCATTCAGTACCGAGTGCAGAAGTCTGGCGCTGGAACATCTGATGGCAACGGCGCGAAACAAACTTCTAGAATCGCTGAGTGTCTGTTCAATTAAATGAAAGTCGGGAGTATTTTTTATGAACTAGCTCCTAATACTTCAATAAATGAACTTTCAACCATTACGAAACTCTTTTTCGAGGCTCATTTTCACAACACTTTTTGAGACTATGAAGGTGGTGTGATAATAATCTTCAAATACTAAAATTTATATGTTAGCAGTTGATTTCGATTACTTTTAAAATATCAAGATTTTAAATCGTTTGAGGAAATTTAACAGTCATATGACTACACTTTCACTACATCCTGGACAACCGTATTGAAGCAAATCATTTATCTCGTACACACACAGATATAGAAAAAGAGAGAGAGAGAGAGATCGCATGCACGAGTCTGGTGCCACCACATCTACCCCCGTTAGTAAACAACGAGGCAAACCTTCTGGCGGAGGTCGGAAGAGTGTTGCTCTTGATCCTTGAACACCGCGTTAGGAAATGGGAACCACAGGGCCCGTTGGGAGGACCGTGGACTCTGTAACACCCCCGCTGAATGTTGATGATATGGGTGCGACACATACACGGTTATGACTACCTACTTGACTCACTGACAGTCGATCGGTTTGGGATTATCGTTTGACGCATAATACAGAAAAGTGGTAGATCGGCTGATAAGTTTTTTTTTTTTTGGATTGTAACGTTAGTCATTTGGTTAGTTCCTGGAGAACGAAACATTAAGTGTCATGTCTGCCGATTGATAGATAAATGGCGTAAGGTGAGTGTAATTCAATCAATGAATAAGGATACTTTGTATATGGATTGATGGATCATATACTGAAAACTAAACATTCTCCAAGGCACAAAGTTAATTTCTCTTAAGCATTTTCTGATAGAATTGTCTGTTGGACGTTATTTAATTTATACTAGAAATTCTGACGAAACAGGATTGTCGATAAGATTATTACTTATTAGATTTAGGGTACCATAAATATTATAGTAAGATCGCTTAAGGACGTATGATTTGCCCTACTTATGGAGCTCGGTTAAGGAAATTATTAACTCACGAATCGTCGAGCATAGTAATTAGTAGAATTAGAAGCATAGTTTTGATTGGGGCTAAATGAGTATTTATTATAAAATTATACAATTTCCGCAGCGGTTACGAGTTATCGTAATTATATCTTACAATTTCTGTAGAATTCTAATTAAGTAAAAAATAAAAACAAGAAAAATTAAGGGAAATATAGCCCACGTAATGTGATGTGTCCAAAACAAAAAAAAATACTTCGTTTTCTGCTTTTGAATCATATGGGAATCAATGTTAGCAATTCTTGTTTTTTTTCTTACTTTTAGTTTATAGTAACAATAGAAGATATAAATTATCAGAATCTTGATAACGATACGTGATCATTACAATAATCCATTCTTATCTAATCAACTGAATTCGTAAAACAAGTTGCTACTTTAAAATGGATTCTACTTATAATAGAGGATGTATTGAGTAACAGATTTGAAATTACTCATTTCATTGTATTCACACTTAAGTGGAAAGAGTTAAATGTATAATATATATAGCTGTCTTAAACCGTTTGTATGTATTTTGATTATTTATTCATTCAACAAAGTTTCATCAGCAGTGTTGTCATGTGTTGTCAATTTATAAGACAAAAACTCAGCATTTGAGAGATATTTTACTATGACGAAATTGGCTAGACGAATCTGTGCGAGCGCAATAGAAATATGGTTGCACAATAGTCAAAGATATATTGAATACCGGGTCATTGTACGAAATTTTCTCTGTTCGGTGACCGGACTATGCGCACATCCTTATAGAAACAAGTATGAATAGATTAAAAAAAAAACAAATATGGAGTAGTAAATGAATACTCAGTACATCTCTGCCTATAAGATACTTATTATCTATAAAAAATGAAATAACAATGTATAAATATTAGAAAGAGATAAAAAAAAATATTTACAGCCATCGTGGTAATCTTAAATCACATTACACAAGCACTGACATAGCAAACGGTCATTGCCCGAAACAAACAGTCATAGGAGCTCATAGCTGTCATGCAAAACTCTAGCTATATACATACTCACCTAACAGGGAGGGCAAATTAAAAGAAAAAAATAAAACGAAAGCAACGTCTAACCGGTCCGCTTTGAAGCTAAACTTGGCTGAAATAAATTATAAAAAAATAATAACACCTAAGTGACAAGCGGTGCATCTAAACATCGAGCCGTCGCAAATTGGCAACGGAGCAACACTTAATTGTTGGATGTATCGTGTCTTACTTCGCCGTGGTCAAGTATCTGGGACTTGATCGCTTGTATTGGGTAAACGCCCATCGATAGGGCGCGCGGGCCCGGCGAATGCGAACCCTAACGGAAACAATCGGCACACAGTTAGCACTCACACCATTGATTAAAAAAAAACAATCGATTTAAACATGCGAGACTCGTCACATAAACGAATTATTCGTACTGTCATATCTGTTAATCAAATCTCAAGCCGTGTCCAGCTGTTGTTACTGTGGAAAAAATTTACAATCGGAACTCTTTATACCAAGACGTGTAAATACACAAATCGCAACTCACACGCATGCCATAACTTCGAACACGTAATTCGATGGCTGTCACAGGAAATATTATAGTATCTTAAAAAAAAATAAAAAAAAAATAGAAACGAGACACATGAAAAACACTGAAAGAGAAAAATTACAGTAAGTTGTCATAATTGAAAACAGTCAAAGCTAATGAAATGGCATTGGATATTTTCTCGTGTGTGTCGAAACATAAATATACTATCATGAAGTTTACGTTATCTGCGATTGAATGATCACATCGAATGTAACACAACATAATCATTCACAGACCTCTCGCTACACAGACTGAACATAACATAATTCGGTGATGTCGGTAAAGAAAACATAAATAAATATAAAAAAGAGGATACACTACATATTTTTTTTTACAAATAATAAATGGACACTCATATGCGTCTGATAATGTCGAATTTGCAAACTTAATTCGATTTTGATAGTTAGTCATGTTAGAATCGCAATCGTATGGAATCGAATGATAAAATAAAAGCCAAAGCCACGCCTAATGCCGTCTTGTACGATACCATCTGTTTGCACGTTTCCTCAGACATTTTCTGCGAACCAAGTAAAATATCTGATGTATACATATAGTGATATTAAATAATTATAAAGGTGCGCGGGTGGACTTGGAAATATATTGTACGTCGGTTACAGTTCAGTTTTTGAAGAATTAATCATAAGAACAACTGTTCATCTGTCATACGGTGAAAGAAGGAAGAAACTTGTGTAAGAGAAGTTTATCACAGATAGAAACTCATTGACATTACTACTCCCATTTTATAATTATACGTGAGGGCTACTGTAAACGAGTTATCTATCACCAAATGTCAATTTCCTTAAGGTAGGATATCATTATACACAGCTTTAATAATAATAATTCATAAGATACCCACAAAGTTTCCATATTCTATATTAATTTAAGAGTAATTGCATCGCTTATAATGATAACATAGGCGGAAAAACTTCAATGTACAAATTTTAATATTGTTTTCGGAACTGCAAATCGCGGAGAAATTGTCTTCTTAACCTACTAACATCATCAGAGACAGAGGTTTCTATAAAAATGTTGCATACTCACAAATGTCCTACCTACTCGGAGGTTAACGACCGCTTTTGATCGACATACCTACAATTTCTTTACTGCAAATAAAACTTTCAATAATATTAATATCAGGAGACAAATATATAACCTCATTTCAATTAACATTTGGTGATCATACAAAGGGAGCCCTAGAGTCGCGAAAAAGAAGTTATCTGAAACATTCGTGTTGGTGGCTCACCTCTCGTATGGTGAGTGTGTGTGACATCATCTGTATGTTGACTTGGGATTGGCTCGTGGGCAGGTTGTCCGACGAGCGTGACCTGACCAGACGCGAGCCGGTCATCACCTGCTTCGACCGCAGCGTCATATCCGTCTTGATGAACACCCGCGCTATATACTGTGAACTGGACCGGACCAAAGATTTTAAAGCTGATGGCAGATCAATCCGAGCGTTATGAGACGAACGGAACTAAATTTACAAGTGAATGACAGGTGATATTATTTATAGTAGCTCGGTGGCGTGGATAAGCGCCGCGGCCCGCGATCGTTGTCGTTAAGCAACTTTCGCAAGGGTCGGTCGGTCACGGGATGGGTGACCAAAAAAAATATTATCTCGAGCTACTCCGTGCTTCGCAAGGCACGTTAAGCCGTTGGTCCCGGCTGCATTTGCAGTCGTTAATACTGCTACTCCAATCCGCATTGGGCCAGCGTGGAGGGTCATGGCCCATTCTTCTTAACCATCCATAAGGAAGGCCTGAGCCCCTGCAGTGGGGACGTAAAAGGGCTGATGATGAATGGCAAACTTACTCGACTATTATTGGGTTATCTGAATTCTACACAGTAAGCCTTTCAATTTCTGGTCAAAATCATAGACGCCTCATATGTCTCTTAACACTTCATCTTTCTATTTGTGTTCAAAAAACCATACTAAATAGCGGAAAATGTTTTAAATATTGTTTTCACAAAGAATGACAATTATATCGCCAATGATGCACTATGTTTCTTAAGTATTATAATGGGGTTATAGTGGTGCTTCCGGCGTTTTTCGTTAGCATAAAGCTGATGATTCGTCAGGTTATGACATCAAAAGTGGTTATATCAATGAAAATAAAATAAATACTTGACAACATCGAATATAAAGTAGCTAAAGCTCTTGTAATATAGAAATCTGCTCTGAAAAGTTCAGTACAACAAACTTCGACTCAACCGGAAATTGAACAGGAAATGTCGACACCTTGTAAGCCACTCGGCTAATTTAAGTTTACTCGACTGTATAAAATGCCATCCATTCATATTTACCTTAGTGCCCTGATGGTGAACGCTGTCCGCAGCAGCTTCGTGGGCGAGGCGGGCATGTTCCTGCAGAACTTGTCAATGGCGTGATCGACTCCATTCTTTGTCGCCTCCGCGTACCATTCAGAATTTTGATTTGTGGAGTGCTTTTGAAAGAGTATGAGGATTGCGAGCGCTACCCTGTAGAACACCTGTTGGTAACAATTATAACAATTAAATATAAACACCATGAAATTGTTATTGGAAGACCATAGACTTTCTTAGGACTCGGTGGCAGTGGTTAGCGAGCTCGGTCTGCGATACGATTGCTACTTTTGCAATGGTCGATAATGGGGAAGTATTAAAAAAAAAAATAGAAAGCACTAAAATAGCACCTCCACTAGATGGTGACTCTAGCAAAAGTTGATTTTTGCAGGAAACGTATGGACCAAAGATTGACCATTTCCGTTCCTTTTAACCAACATATTAAAAAACTGAAATTCGCAAATTTCGCAACTAAGATAACAATACAAATAGAATATGAGTTGTGAAAACCGGAAGGGTTGTCAGGAGAAATCAAGAAAGTACTGTAGCGACATCTAGTTTGATTTCGGGAACTAATATATATTTTTTTAATACTTCCTCGTAGATTAGGTAAAGGACCAAATAAATTAATTTCTCGAACTCCTCCGTGCTTCGGAAGGCACGTTAAGTCGTTGGTCCCTGCTGCATCTGCAGTCGTTAATACATACCAATCCGCACTGCGCCCGAGTGGTGACTCATAGCCCATTCTCCCTATTCGATTCGATTTGATTCGATCACATCCATAAGAAAGGCCTGAACCCCAGCAGTAGGGAATAGGCTGGTCATGATGATGATAATGATGATGAGATTACCTTAAATATTGTGAAATGCAATAGCAAAGGAGATATACTGAAATGTATGGACTCTGAGCAAGGTGCGAGAGATTATGTACACCAAAACGAAACACAATTCTAATTACTGTAATAAATTATTGAAATTCTGATAAATTGTACACATTTAATTTTTGCACTACTTTTACTGGCATACTACATTAACAGAGTTTGAGTCGTGAAAATCAACTTAAATAAGTAAGTAATAATAGTTGTAACCTAAAAAAACATTAGTAAGTATACTAAGGCGTTTTTACATTTCCAAATTTTAATTGGAACTGATAAAGAGTTGTATTTAATATGCGAAGAATGACTTAAAAGAACGAGCATTAAATAACTTACTACTCTTCTCATCTCCAATGACCAGCCACTACAATAATCTGCAAGTTTCACTTGATAATGTTACAACAGACCTTGATGCCCTCGTGGAAGAAACAGTCGAGCACCCGCACCATGTGTGGGAAGGGCAGCGCGGCCAATATCCACCACTGCCAGTCGGCGTATATGCGCTCCGGGCCGATGCCGCCCGCCAGCCGGGTCAGGTGCTGCGCCGCCGACTTCTGCAACCAATCAATCACACTGTACGGAAACCGCGAGATGAACTGTTCAACTGCATGACAGAACATTTTATCGAGTCACTATTCGCAGTATAACAAACTAAAAGAATAATAATATTTTTTTGACATTCACACCATCACATTACAATAACATAAACAAAAAAACAGATAATAACTTATAGAATTCATTTGTAAAACTATATATAAATGTGCGGTTATATTGGGCGAAAGCCAATTAGTACCCCCTGTCTCAGCTAATGTCGCTACTGTGTTTTATTACAGTACCGACGCTGGTATTATGACTGAGCCTATGTAGTGACGTATTGTGTGTGTGTGTTTGTGTGTGTGTGTGTGTGTGTGTTTGTGTGTGTGTGTGTGTGTGTGTGTGTGTGTTTGTGGGTGTGTGTACTTGTTTATATATATGTAAATGCGTTCTATCTAAAAACTAGTTATAACTGTAACATATATAAGTATACGTATTAAAATATAAAGTAGTGGACAATATAATTATACATATAGATATAACAAAGCAAATACTTATAAACTATCAATTTCGTAGACAAAACAATCTGTCAGTTCAAATTGGTTTTGTGGAGCAGAAGATTTTATCTAGAGACTAGTTGCATGTTGTATAATTCTCTTTCGATATGTCTATATTTTGGACACATTTACATTATCTTGGTATGGACATGTGATGAGAAGAGATGATTTGCTTGTAACAAAAGGGGTTACAACCATAATTGTGGACGGATATGTTAGAAAAATCAAAGATAAGATATGAAAGAAACCATACAAAAGATGATATGTGTAAGAAAAGAGAAAACTCAATACTGACTCCTTTCTTACACACGGCGTCTGACGGCTGATCGAAAAGTAAGGAAGAAGAATATTGGTTTCTTATATTTTCACGCGCACTATCCATGAATGATATTGCGCCAACGCTAAATAAATATGTAGGAAAATGGCAAGCAAATGTTAACATTCAGAACGTTTTTTAAAGGAATATTGGTAGAAATTCCATAATAGTTAATTAATACTGAAAAATTATAAGTTTCATACAAACTTTCATCCACTAATTTCCCTCGGGGTGGAATTTTCAATAATCCTCTCTTAGTGCTCCTCTACACTCCCTAAGGAATCGTTATTCTAAATTTCAACTTTCTACGCTCAGTAGTTTCGGCTGTAGGTTGTCTGTCTGTCAGTCAGTCAATCACTCAGTAACGCAAGAATTCTTTTATATATATAGATAGACACATTTTACAACTCATATGACATTGCCCAAGTCATTGGTTCGTTTGAAAAACATCACGAATATGTTATTGGCACATTTGCGAAGTAAAAAATTAAACTCGTGTATATATGCAAATCAACAAGTCACGCCGTCAATTATGATTTACAAAACAATAATAATATTAAGCTATCAATATTAACCGCTATGAGCCTTTTTATGTCCCCATTGTGGTTTCAGGCCTTCCTTTTCGATGGTTTGGTACATTTTCTATAAAACTGTGACGTAGTGAGCCCCCACTCCTCAACTTAAACGCCTGTTATCCAAGCTATCTTTTATTAAATAGAAGTAAAAAAAAATGTATCTAAAATTTTTCTATTATCTGACTGACGGAATAAATAATTTTTTTTTTTTTACTCAGTCGTCACCCCTACTATTATAACTATAATAGGATTTAATGCAAATAATGAAGGTAATCTTAGGGTATGTTCCGATATACACTGCGACCACTGAACAGTATGACTTCAATTTAGTATACTGGAAGCCCGTTCCTTTATAGTTAGTCATACTGGTGACTTTTTAAAACGGAACGCAGTCCAGTATACTGTTAATCCTATTTTTGGCGCCATTTTCAAATTTGTTAATGCAAGGTGAATATAAATATAAGGATTCCCTCTTTTCAAAAGAAAATATTAAAAAATTGGAAAATTGTATAAAAAAAATATTTATCAATTAAATCCATCTTATAATAAACGTAAGTATTTTATTTTATCTGTTTCGACTGATCACGTGGTCAAAAGCACTGCGAGCACCTTACCTCGAAACCTCCAGTACTCACAGTACAAATATGGCGGCAATTCATGACGTCATAAATTTCCCTACGGTACTGTGGCAGTGTACTGGCAGTCCATAACGGAACGGATTTTTCAGCAGTAAGACCACTGCGCAGTGCTCGCAGTGTATATCGGAACATACCCTTAATCATTTACGTCGTATTACCGGCTCGAAAACTCGCTACATATTTTACAAAATGAATATTTAGGGAGCACGTAAACTTCGTATTACCTACCTGTAACTAACAAACTTTCGATAGTAATGATCATTATCCACGAACTAATAAACAATTCAACAGTTGAACGCGGGAAACCGTGTTCTATTACATCGACGATATCAACGCGTTTCAACAAAGTTCATTTATCTTTGTGTTACTTTACAATGAATTATACCTCTACAATAATTAATACTTTGCACTTGCCTTATTATATAATTAGAGAATCGATTTTGTATTATTAGGTATAAGAAGTCAGGAAATCGATTTATCAAAAGTTTAATTGCCACAGTATTGTTATACAATGGCGTCTTTATAAATTAATGGTGACAGGTATTCAGGAAAAATTTGTAGTCAGTACCTTAGTTACTCACAACGATAAATCATACTAAAGTCTTTTCTATCCTTTTTTTTTAAATTTGCTGACGCCTGATATAAAAAAGATGATTAAAAAACTATTCCTACTATACCCGGTAGCTATTAACCGATTTCCGTTAATACACCTATAGTTTGTTAATTAGAATTAAAATAAAGATGATAATGTGGATAAATGTTGAATTAGCACTTTTAATAATTACCTATGAAAAAATAAAATATATACAAAATTATAGTATATTATCGATAGTAAACCAGAAGATAAAATTTGTTCACTTCTATCATTTTTTTTCTGTATATACATTATTTAATGATCTATACTCCATTCATTATAGCAATAGACAGAAGTGAAATAAGGTTCTTTTTATGGTACTTTGTGACAAAATATCTATAATCACATTACTCTTAAGACTCACGGCTAATTTGCTACATATTCACTAAAATACCAGCTTCTATACTTAACCGTTGTCGTTTGAGCTATATATTAAACAAATTTATGAGTATTTGACTAATTTAAATGATTTCATAACTATTACAACAAAAAGAACCTAAAGAAGCTGGGTTGCATAGTTTCGGGACGATTCTCATGTCCCTATAACTTTACCAAATTTAAAACGTTACCTAATCCATTCAAACGATTCGGGAGTACAGCTTTTTAATTTTAGCGGATTATGATGTATTCATAATAGTCAAAATACGTAATCTGGGATTGTCATTCATTGTGAATGTTACTGCCCTTCTCGTTGTTTTGCCGTTTTTCGTGATTAAGTTGTTATTGTTTTATTGTTTTCTTATATTTTTGTTTTAATTGTTATCTTTTTGGTGTTAAGTTTTGTTAAATATGGACGATGCTGGTGCAAGCCTGAGTGGCCTACAACAATTACCTTTGATATTTCAGGAAGTTTTTTCAATGTCTTCATCAATAGTCTAATAATATCTGAGTAAATTTATAAAAGTAATAATCAAAACTTCATTTTGTTTACCTTTTTTTCCTATGCATAGATATAACTAAATTCTATTCTCATTATATACATTTACAACTAGAAATTATCAAAACAACAGATACCTAGATAGTTTTTTAGTTCAATGTTGGCTCGGGAGTAAAAGATGAATTTAGAAAATGCTAGCCTCATCTCAACCCCGAGGTATCGTAAAAAATGGAAAATTGCCCAGTTCTTTTAAAGTTTCAACAAAACTATTATAAATATTTTTAAAATTTATCTTGAAAATAAAATGTTCTGCACTGCTGCTTCTGTGATCCTCTTTTTTCTAATATTATAGTGAATGGAGTATAGTTAACGAGAGCTGTGTGAAAAGAAGATTACATTAAAACGCCATTGTTATAACTATTAGAAGTCCAGGGCTGCAGTGATCATAAATCTAAGATAAAACAACTAACATTCTCGTTACATGTGCATAGTGCACATAACATTGTACAACCCTCAACCGGCCGGAAAGGGTTCAAGAGTCGGTGATCGATTTCTCTGTGGCCATTGACCCTCGCGTATATAATTATTTACACCGATAGTGATGACCTGAGGCCGTGGCCTCGGACAATGTAAATCATGTTATCTGTGATGGAATTCTAGTGTAAACATGGACGCTCATAATAATAGACTGTTTTATTTTAAAATTTAAAAGTATAAATACATCGCTGAGCTATGCTATTCTGTTAAAAGATCCTCGAACTTGTCGTAGAACTCAGCGCTGTCACGTTGTAAAACTTCAACCAAATCAAATCTTTATTACCTTTTCAAGTAGGATTTATTTGTTGAACCATGGTTGTACCTCTAGAATAGAATATATTTTTAACCAATAGAATTTGAATGAAGTGAGAACTGTTGATAGCTAATAATAATAGTAGTAATATAACTTATTAGAGAGTTATTTTCATTCAAATTCTTGTTTATTTGTTAAAAATATTGGCGTAAGTAACGACATTTTCTCAATTATTTATTTCTCTCAACTATGAAAGAATATTTTAGATGGGTTCTAGTTTTCTTAGTAGTAGTTTTAATTTTCTTTTGTGAGAATATAAGATTTTAACGTAATTTAAGTACATAAAAATGCACTAATATTTAAACAACTTTGAACGATATCGGTCAATGCCTGATATCAATCAACTCAATTTGTCTCAGACAAAGATAAATGTAAAATACATATTAGTTTTATTATTATATTATATTCATCTAATCATAGTGGAATTGATATATGTTTTTATTAGATGTAGTAAAGAAGAGAAAACGTCAAATTGATACGATACCAAAATAACAAAGTTTACGTTCAGATATTACATTACAGAAATTGTGGATAATATTTACTTTGCCTGGGGAATCCGCTTTACCACGTTTA